CTTGAAGGTACATGTAAGCACCGCACCTTGTGCTCCATCATTGGTATAATTGCAGATTGTCTGTCTAATATCGTTTTCCTGACATGGGTTCACTTTAAAGTACACATTTCCTAAAATGAGAGCTTTCAATGCTAACCTCATGAAAATGCTAGGTGTTTGGGTGGTATGCTGACACACCGGCTTCATTTCTTTGAGTCACTGACCTGAAAGTCAAAGTAAAATCGCAAGTTCTTATCCACATACTTCAGTTGGGTTAGTGCTCCAATGTACTGAAGCAAAGGGACAGCATTATAGCCAGGCAACAAGCATTTGCAGACTGGGAAGTTCGCAATGTCACTGCAGCCCTCAGGGATAAAACTATATACTTGCTCCAGTCTATTTGATGCATGTTTAGGTTTTGTTTGCATCATATACAGTATACCATGAAGGTGATTACACGCATAGGTACGTATATGTTTTCATATTCAGAAAACAGTTCTTTTTTTCCATGTTCTCCATCTTGAATACTGCTTGAACCCACAAAATGAATACTTCCATACTGGGACTGAATATAAAAAACTGGACCAAAAGAAAAAGTAAACCTTTTTCAATCTTACCATGTCTATATTTCCACCCTCGTCCATTATTTCTGCTCCACTTCTTGTTTTTGATTTGTTTTATTTAAGGATATGACTGGCAGGGAGCAGTGCCACCAACAAACCTACTATAAGTGCTGATGTGGTATAATTGCTGTTTCACATGTTTATGGGAGGTTTCATTTAACTTGTGCCATCTACATGTATTTGATTTATTGTTTGCATCTATGTAATAAGTTGTTGGGTCTGTGCTTACTTTCCTGTCCTTTTCAAAAACTTCATACATAAACAATAAAAAAATAAAACATTTTCAAATCAGACAATAATTTATAAAATACACATGTGAAATACAAGTATGTTTACTGTTTTACCTGTCAAGGATTTTTAATTTTGGTCAGCCATTGTTGACTGCTTCATAAGTCAGGTAATTTCTTGCTGTAATGAGTAATGGTGTTCATTCACTCTCCAGTGTGGAGGCTGGAGGTGTATGGAAAGCTGGACCAGAAAGATTGATTGCTTTATCGGGAACAATGCTTGTCACCTGCCTGTGCAGTTGTAAATCACAAGATTTGCTGTACAGAATCTCATATACTTTAACATGTACAGGTAACAATAAAGATATATGTACTTCACTGTGTATTTAGATGTAATCCCAAAGTTTTGATTAAACAGACCCTGTTGTCTTGTTAAAAAATAAAATGTGAGCAGCCTGTAAAGAAGAAGACTTGAGCTGAACATACATGGATCAAAATTGCGCTGGTTGAGCATGGACCGGTCGATTTTGATCAATATATGGGCAGGCTGATTGTACCCAAGTCGATCCATTAATCAATTTGGTTACAATCAGCCTGCTGGACTTTTCTATGTTCGATTACTCCCAGCGGCTATAGTCGCTAGCAGTAATTGTATTCTGCCAGCAGGGAAGACTCCCTGAACCCCCCATCCCCGCTGCCAGAATACCATAGCGCTGCAGGAGGCATTCATGCAGAATTTGGGCAATCTACCCATTTTCTTTCTCTCTACCCATGGTGGAAGCAAAGAAAATCAATTCATCTATGGCTTGCTTTATACTTGCCTGTCCTTATACTCGTTCGCTCACCTGTCCAGCAGGTGTTTTTTTCAAGAGATACCTGTGCCCCTGCTATTCAACACATTCATAGGTTTTAACATTACATATCCCCCATTGTGTGCTGGGGCTCCTCAAGCCAACAACTAAGTCATTATTGTGTTCTCTACTGGCATAGCGACCAGTTAAAGGAGCCAGAGCATGTGGCGGGGGGCACTCTATCCAAAGTACCTGGAAGTGTCAGCAGCAGCACCGATAAGTCTTAAAAAAATGTTGATTTGTCTTGCTGCCCACCGAGGAGAGAATTAATCTTCTTTTACAGGCTGCTCACATTTTATTTTTTCAACCAGGTGAGAGGGTTGCTTTAATCATTATCGGTCAGTGTTTCTTTGCTCCAGTTTTTCATAGGTCACCTTGTATGTTCGTCCAGGGAATTTGTTTTGCTTTCAAGAATTCACCAATTGACATTGTCATTCACAAACAACTCATTCTCCCTTTACAGCAGCATGACGCAGTGTTCATCCCAACATCACAGTGCAGTTTGTTGATCAGCCCATTGCCTGGTCCGTGGTACAGTAGCGTATTTGTTTTTTTTTAACTATCATCTTCCATTTCCATTCTTTTCTTGTCTTCCTTTTCTGGTCCTGGACCCCTTTTTCTGCCTAACTGTGCAGTTCTTTGACTTGTTGGTTTTCCCTCTTTAATTTTAGAACTAAAAAAAAAAGATTTTATATATTTATATGAAATCTTAATATTAGGAAAAAAATATTGCAGGTGCATCCTTGATTGCCTGCTTACAAAGCCTTCTTGCCTTTTTAATAAAAGAGCCCAGCATGACCTGTATACTTTCTACAAGTTGCCTGTCTAAGGTGCTCTCATTTCAACACTTCTTCTGAATCATTGAGCTCTCCTTTTAGCACAATAGCTGCAAAAAAAAAAAAAGTTGCAGCTTGCCCCCTGCTGACAGTTGGTGGTAATTATGAAATATACAGATGCAGTAATTTTTGCTTATCTGATATAAAAAAAAAAAAAATATTTTTAGTACTGGACATATTGTATAAAAAAAAACTGCCTTAATGTGGACATTGTTATATTGACATTAACTGAAACAGACCTCCTTCCCCCTCTGTGTATAAAAAACACTTGTAGGTTTCTCTCTAGTGCTTATTTCCAGTCTGATTTACGCAAGTCTGGTATGTTGTAGTCTATCTGCTTACAGACAGCAGTTCTCTATGCAGTTGTACTCTCCATATGCACACCATCTCTCAATGTGTTTTTTTTTTTGTTAATGTGACTTCTGATAGACAGATAAAGGGATGTTTGTGTGCACATAGCCCTGAGTGTAAACTTCCCTTTTCATTTTGATCAGCAGGGGATCTGTCCGCTGATCCCCTGCCGATCAGAGCAGAGCGGGCAGATGACAGGTCCATGTCCCCTCAGTTTATGCAGAGCAGATATGGACAGCACTCGCTCTGCTCTATGGGCAGCTGGGTGTAAATAGATTCTGCAGTCCATTTACACCGGACTACCCTCCAATCCGATCTGCCTACATGGAGGAAAATGGATTCTTTTTAACAGACCAGATTGGATCTGAGGTAGGCAGGTGTAAACAGACACTGACCATAAAGCTGTAATATTAGTTATACAAAACTTAAAAGTGTTGCCATTATGGACCTATTAAGATTTTTTTTGCCTGACCAGCTCTAAAGATATTTGTTCTGGAATTGATCTGGCTTTTATGGTAAGCACCGATACTCCAGTTGTTATTTGTGAGCCCCCACATTGCGGAATAGAGCTGTGCTTTTAGAACGCTGTTTGAATGAAATGCGCCGAGGCTGGAAATTTAAGTAAAGCTGGCCTTACACCTGTAGAATCTTAGTGTAAAGTTAAAGTGTTATGCTAAATAGTGACCAATTGAAGTTAATCAAACAAAAAACATGCAAAATATACATAAATGAACTAAATACATGCTAAAAATAATAACCAAAATAAATGGTGAATAAGTGAATTCAAAAGCAAAAAGTCCACAATAAGTGAATTGAAGTGTAACTAGAGTCCATATTCCTCTTCATTTGCCAACAGCAGTGTCTCCTGCCACCACAATGCAAGTAAGATGCATTGATGAGTTCACTTATTCACTATTTATTTTGGTTATTATTTTTAGCACATATGTCATTCATTTATGTATGTTTTGCATGTTTTTTTGCTTGATTCACTTCAATTGGTCACTGTTTAGCGCAACACTTTATTTTCACACTGAGATTGGAGGGGATATCCTCCTTTTGCAAGTTCAAACGACATTTCTTCTATGTACCATGTCAATGTCTCAATTTTTGTTTTACTCAGTTTTCGAGTTGAACAAATGTTCTGCTTTTGGATCAACTTTGAGATAGTAATGTTTTTTTTTTCTCATCTGGGATTGAATTCAACAATTAGAAATTTATTGGATTTGACAAAGATTTTGACTTTGATTTTTTTTTTCTCCCACTCTTCTCGAAACTGATTGTGGAATCATCCCCTTTTCTTCTTAGATAATCAAATGAATGATCTGAAAATGACAATTTTCGAATAAAATGTTACAGGTGTAAGGCCAGCCTAAGCCACAACAGAACTGTCCTTTTATTACTATAGCGCCACAAGAGCTGAAGAGCCATATGTGCTTACCTTTGATCTTAAACAGGTCTGTCTATGGCTCTTGGAGATGATAAGGGGCCACAGATCATATCTGCGTTCCACTTTTTGACAGAGCATTCTGGAACCTGCAGCATCTAAACCACTGGACAGTCTACATGGTGCAAAATGCCTGTAAATTTTATAGTTTTCTAATTGTAATATTAAATTAGAAGGTGCTGGTCTTGTACTCTAGCACCAAGTCACCCATTTTGGCTACCAAAAAGAGCAGCAATTTTTGGGATCTAAAGATTATCTGCCAATACATGGGCAGAATAAAGGGTTAGTTCACCTTTACCAAAAAACTACCTATAGGTAAAGGGCAACTGTGGACAAAACAGAATTTGCAGCTTTGACTAAAGTTGGATAATGCCCTTGCTATAGGTGTAGTCTATTTATGTACCTCCACCATCTCTGTTGCAGCATCGCTGAACTCAGAGCTACTGTGCCAGTTTTGGGCATGGTAAAATGTGATTCTGCTGAGATCTGTTGGTAACTAGGAGTATATTTCTATTTTTTTATATGCTCATACACACCAGCAGTATAGGGTTTACCTTAATGGAATGCATCTAGCTGAAAAAAGTAGACAGTAGTGATTTCTATACAACAGGCAAGTTCTTTGTGACGCATGTCTCTGACCTAGAAAATTCTCCACGATTCTTGGCTCATACTTTGCACCCTCTCTGCAGACAATGGAGTCTCAGATGGAGGAATGGTACAAGGAGGTGGGCGAGCTGCAAGCCCAGATTGCATCTCTTCCATTGGATGTAGCCAGCCAAGAGTCAGTGGATCAGAAGCAGAATGAAGTCGGAACCAGGATTGTGCGGCTAATCGAGCCACTGAAGGAGAGAAGACGGATTCTCCTAGCCTCTAAAGAGGTCCATCAAGTCACCCGGGACCTGGAAGATGAAATTGTGAGTTTTTTTGGGTATTTATCTATTAAAGTGCTTGATAAACTATTTTTGTTGCTCCTAAAAGCCATATGTTCATTCTTCAGCGAGAAAAAATTGAAGGCAAAAGCTGATTGGTCACTATGGAAAAAGAATCTTTCTTTCTTCTAATACTTATTTTGTTTATAATGCAAATGAATTATGACAGTCTGGTACCTAGGAAGTAGAATCCTGGTTGAATATATGGGTTATTTTTGTCAATGGTCTAAAGATTTGAGCTGATATTGAGTGTTTTGGCTTTGCAGCATTGCTGTGAAGAAATCTTCTAGCATGCCGAAAATGTCATTTAAGCAGAAAATTGTTCACACAAATTAGCTGTTTTAAGAAGAAAATTAAACAATCCATCTACTATGCAGACATTCCTGTTGTAAAAACAACACAAATGAATGACTTCTGGTTGTGAAAAAGATTTTAGGATGGCAGGATATGCTTACCTTTCCATCAGCTGGGAAGCATTCAGTTATTATTTGTAGACTGAGCAAATGATGGATCAACAATTTTGAGTCCAATCTCTAAATAATTCTACATCTCTATTGGTAATAATTACAACTTGGTTGGAAAAACTATTCAGCATAATTTAAAAGGTGATATTTTATAGGTCCGCCAACTAAAATGACTTTAAACAATGTACACTGTTATATTGGTCCACAGCTGTAATTTTATATGTGAGCTGAAAGTTTTTCAAGAAAGTATCAGTCTGTATATCAAACTACTATTTAACAAAGCAGGGAGATTGCAGTGATTTGTGTCTTTGGTCTACTTAATCAAAGCTAAATTGCTAGCTAAGGATTCCTTAAAAACTATATATTTTTTGTTGAAGAGTTATAAAGGTGCAGTGAATGTTAAAATGGTTTAATTAAAGAGATTTTTTTTTTTTCTTGTTTTAGAATAATTAAAAGTCAGCATCTTCAAATACTGTAGCTGCTGACATTTAAGAAAACAAACACTTACTAGCCCATGGAGTCCCGCTCTGTCTTGTGCACGTTGGTTTCCACTCTTCTGTGTTGCCATCTTAGATTTGGGAGCCGACTGTGAATTCCTAATGTCTCACAATCAGCTTCCCACTGCAATGTACAGCAGTGCTGTGTAACTAGTCCTGTAGCCTCCTGGGATGTGTGATGTTTCCCAAGAGGTTGCGGGCAGATGTCATTTACACCTAGTCAGGAATTGAGGAAGTGTCAAAAAATTTTCTCACGTCCCTTGGGGATCAAAAAAACACTTCAAAAGTGTTAGGGGGAGAGGGGAGGATGAGCAGTACTCTCACTTTTGAATGAAGGTTTGCTGGAAGCTAAAATAGGGATGTCCACTTAAGGGCCACTCTTTTGGAAAATATCAGGTTATTGATTAAGTTTCTGACCTGGTGAATCTGTGTCTTTATGGCTGCACCCACATTATGTTACTTTTCATGTTGTCTGTTTTTTTTAAGTAGTCTTTATTTCCAGACACAGATTTTCATACACAAAAATAAAGGCAGTACCAGACAAAGCAATAACATAAGTTTCTACAAGAGCCAGGTGTGACTCAAATGCAGATGTAAATCTGAAGAGAAATAGGGGGACCTGGGTCCCCCAACTTCTGCGCATGGAAATCATGACTCACCGGCCGGTATGGACCGGGAGTGCACGGCACCCACTCAAAGCACTCCCATCTACCCAATGTGAGAGGTCCCTACCACTAAAAAGATGCCTGGTCATAACACAAGACAGAAATCATACAGCTACTACATAGCATGTGCTGCAGTAGGTTCTCAAGAGCCAACAACAGTAAAACAGTACAAGAAGAACAAACATCAAAAATAAAAAGGAAAAAGAGAAAACACTCACAGTCGCTCTGTTAGTATAAGGACTCTGCATAGTAGGCTAGCCAGCAAGTCTGACCAAGACAAAAGCTTATTGTTGTCTGTTTTTGTTGTATTACAGACTTGGGTACAGGAGAGGCTGCCTCTTGCTACGGCTAAAGATCATGGAAGCAACTTGCAAACTGTGCAGCAGCTCATGAAGAAAAACCAGGTGACTGCATGTCATTTACAAAATAAATTTTAAAATGCTTTTGTTCCATTGTTATATTGCAGGTTCAAGTAAAACTCTGTAGCTTTAGAAACATCGAGTAGTCCTTAACCACTTCCCGACCGGCCTTGCATATAAACGGCCAGACGGCGGCAGTGCAGGGTCGGGTGGCCATTTATAAACGGCCTCCCCGCACCCTGCTTGTGCGTGCTACCTGGGGGAGCGCGCAGCACCATGATCTGGTGCCCGCTGTGTCCTCCGGACACAGTGAAACACCGATCGTCGGACTGGACCTCTGTATGAGGTCCCGATCATGTGATCACTGCTTGGCCAATCAGTGATCACATGCAAAGTAGTAAGCAATGATGTCACTTGTGACATCATTGCTTACTACGTGTGAAATCTGTGAATGATCACAGAGGTCACATGGTACAAGGCTATTCACAACAGCCTTGTACCATGTGACAAGCTGTGACCAATCACAGCTCACTCAGTACTTCTCAATGAGTGCAAGAATGCAGACAGAGAGAAAGAGAAATGATTGCTTTGACTGCTAGGGTGACAGTATGTAAAAAAAAATAAAAATAAAAAATAATAATATCAGAAAATAAAATAAAAAATTAAAAAAAAATGTTTAAAAATTATAATTTTTGGTTATAAACTGATTTGGATTTTTTTTTTACTAAAAAGATAACGGAATAAATTTTGGCAAAGATTTATGATGAAATATTATTTATTTGCAAAATTTTATAAAAAAAACCACTTTTTTCAAAATTTTTGGACTTTTTCATTTACATAGCAAAAAAAATTAAAATCCCAGCGGTGAATAAATACCACCAAAATAAAGCTAAATCTGTGTCAAAAAAGTGGTAAAAAATTAATTTTGGTACAGTGTTGCATGACCGCGTAATTGTCATTCAAAGTGTGATAGCGCTGAAGCTGAAAATTGCCCTGGTCAGGAAGGGGGTAAAAGTGTCCGGTCTGGAAGTGGTTAAGAGGAAAGTATTTAAAGGAGAAGTACAGCCGAAGCTCTTTTGGCTGTACTTCTCCTTTGGATCACAGGAGTGCAGTTCGGTCTGACCCATTTTCGGTTGAAGCCCGCTGTCGGCTGATGTCACTCAGCCGGTCCAAGCTGGGAAAGATCCCGACTTCAAAATCAGGATCCGCCCCAGAGTTTGGAGCGGCACCTGGCTCAGCCTCTCAGCACATGTGCTGAGAGCCTGAGACAGCCACTCCCTCCCCCTTCACAGTGAGTGAGTGAGGGGGGGGGGGGGGTGCAGAGCAGAGAACAGTGACGATGACAGTCCTGCTTCTCTTTAAAAAAAAATTTAATTAAAAAAAAAAAAAAATATATATATATATATATATATATATATATATATATAACGTGTGTGTGTATTGCTGTGAATTAAAAATAGAAGTGTTAATAGTTTTTTTTTCAATTACCTAAATGGAAAGTAAATGAACAAAAAAAGAAATCCAAATCAAATCAATATTTAGTGTGACCACCCTTTACCTTCAAAACGGCATCAGTTTTATCTTCACGGTTTTTGAATAAACTCCGCAAATAGGTTGTTCCAAACGTCAACTAACCCCCATAAGAAGCAGTGGTCAGCCAAGGGAAGTCTTAATGCAGCAGATGTCAGATCCTTCATGCTTCCTTGCCTTCGACATTGGCCATCAGCACAGAACTGGTGGAAACCAGTGGAACGCAGGTACACCCATCTGTTGTCCGGAGAAGTCCAGCGAGAAGTGGCCTTCATGGAAGAATTGCGGTCCAAAGCCGTACATCCAACGTGTAAACAAGGCTAAGCGACTCAACTATGCACAAGACCATAGGAATTGAGGTGCAGAAAAATGGCAGCAGGTGCTCTAAACTAATGAGTCAAAATTTGAAATATTTGGCTGTAGCAAAATACAGTTTATTAGTGAAGGGCTAGAGAGCGCCACCTTAATGAGTGTCTGCAGACAACAGCGAAGCATGGTGGAGGTCCCTTGCAGGTTTGGAGCTTCATTTCTGCAAATGGAGTTGGAAATTTGGCCAGGATCAATGGTGTCCTCTGCTGATAAATACAGGATGATACTTATCCATATTGCCATACCATCAGAGAGGTGTGTGATTGGTCCCAAATGTGTTCTGCAGCTGGACAATGACCCCAAACATACAGCCAATGTCAATAAGAACTATTTTTAGTGTAAAGGAGAACAAGGATTCCTGGAAGTGATGGTTTGGCTCAACAGAGCTCTCATCTCAAGGTCATCCAGTCTGTCTGGGATGAAATGGAGAGACAGAAGGATTAGAGGCAGAGATCTGTGGTTAGTTCTCCAAGATGTTTAGAACAAACTACCTCCTGCCGAGTTCCTTCAAAAACTGTGCAAGTGTACCTAGAAATATTGATGTTGAAGGCAGAGGGTGGTCACACCAAATATTTATTTGATTTGGATTTCTCTTCTGTTCAATTCTTTCCATTTTGTTAATTAATAGAAGAAAAAAATTTTTTTCAGGCAGACCTAATTGAAAGCTCTGTGCAAGTCTATGGGCAGGTGGATGTAAACGTACTTATGTCCATTTACATTCACCTACCTCCAAGTCCATCCAGGTCCAGAAAAAAAAGCAGAAAACGACTGCATCTTTTTCCAGACCCTAAAAATAACAGATCAGAGGTAGCCTGATGTTAACACATAGCAGCCCATAGATCCAACACAAGTCCTCAAATGTCCACTGTTAAAATACGGACAAAAAAACTGGCTTGGAAGTCACAAAGGTCATATCCACTCCGTTCTGCTCTGAATCAAGGTGAGTTCTGGTCATCAACCTCCTTCTCCATGTATCTGGGCATGTTTATGTGAAAGGACCCTCAAAGGAAGTTTACCAACATTTTGGAGAGGCAGGGCATGAAGTACAGGGGCTGTTTCCACTTTTTCCATTCTTTACTCTACTGTGTGTGTGTACAGTATGTATGTACGTATGTATATATGTATGTATATGTGTGTGTGTATATATATATATATATATATATATATATATACACAGTATATAAAATATGTGTAATGTAGTATATAAATTTGTCATTCTTACTTCATTAAAAGGAATTCCAGCTAATACCGAATACTCATGCTGTGTGATGAAATAAAGAGAGGTCCCACTCGCCTAAAGGCACCCCTGCTTTCTTTACCAGAAAAAGGCAGCGGGATTCCCAATGCAAAATCAGCCAACAGTACATCCAAAATCAGTTGGGGATTTCTTCATCCATCCATGTCCATTCTGCCCTATAATATTCCCCATAGCTCTGGAACACCAGCAGATGCTTGAAAGCTTGACATGTTCTAATTGGTGGTCTTGTATCTCCTCTGTTAAGAACCTGCGACGAGAGATCCAGGTACATACCCCTCGAGTGGACGACATCTTGGAAAGAGCATCAGCCATTGCCAGTATCCGCAGTCCAGAGGCAGAGGGTGTCAAGATAGGGTATGAGAGCCTACGGGAGATGTGGGGTGTTCTGCGGGAGGAAACTGAAAGGCGGCAACAGCTGTTGGACATCAACTACCAGGTGCAGCAGTATTACTTTGATGTGGGTGAAGTGGAGACATGGCTGAGCGAGCAGGAACTTCTTATGATGAATGACGAAAAGGGAAAAGTAAGACATCTTTTGCCATACCAATTTAAACCCCAGAAATGTAATTTCTTAAATGGTTGCAATGTACTGCTTCCTGACTCTGTTCTATCAGGAGATATTTGGGAGACACTGAAAGAAGGGGAGAATCAGAGAATAGAGGATCAAATGTCCTTTTTACACAATGTGGAGGATTAACCCTTTAGGTTCCACAGTGTATAACAAGCATGCTTTACTGCATATACAGACAGATTTTACTGTTGTGGGTTTAGTAACACTTTAATGTCAGTGACCCCATTGGGGAGATTTTGCTTCACTTCCTGTGTCCCTGTGGCACCCGTACAAGTAATTGGTGGGTGGGATGGTGCAGTTGTCACCGTGGACATGGACACAGGGAAAAATTAAACAATGTCAGCCATTCTAACCCTTTCTCGTTTTAAAATGTGCTTATGTTTTTGCCTGTGTCCCCAATGGAGAGATTTTCCATAAGTTCCTGTCCAAACAAGTGAGACTATATTCCCCCCTGCACCCTCCTTGTTGTGTACAAAACAAATTAAATAGAATTTTTGACTTGCCTGTAAATTCCGTTTCTTGGAGTACAGTACAGGACACAGGCAGATTCAGAGACTACGGGGTTAGAGGCAGGTACCTTCCTGTGATTGGAAATTGGCAAAAATACTACAAGGACACCTATACCCTCACACTTTCAGCAAGCCTCAGTTCTTTAGCAAGCAATAGGAGAGCCGTAGAGGGAAGGATGGCTTGTGTTCTTCACTACATTCCAAGAAATGGGTTTTACAGGCAAATTAAAAATCCTATTTTCTTGCACATACAGTGCAGAACACGAGTGGGCTAAGAGACATCTGGAACGTACACAAACAATATCAATAAGGGCAGGGAGACCCGGCAACAACAATGCCAACTGGCCCACAAATCCCACCACAACAATGGCCCAGGCCCGAACTCTAACAGCAGCTTGAAGCACCTTGGAACCAAAGTCCGCATTAGCTGAGGCCTAAATATCCATCTGTTAATATTTCATAAAAGTGTGAATCGATGAATAGGTGACAGCCTTACAAATCTACAGCTCAGAAGCCAAATGCTGAAAGAATGCACTGATGTACCTAGTAGAATGAGCCACAAGAAAAGGGAGGAGCCTGATCCTTGGCCAAGTAGGCCTGAAAAGCTGATGCATCCACCTTGCAATGGTGGAACGAAACTCAGGAAGTCCCTTGCAAGAGACTTAGAAAGCACTAAGAAGCAATCAAATTGCCTTATATATCCCGAACCACATTCAGAGAATGCAGAGCAACCTCCCAAGGGTCAAGGCAGAACAAAAGAACTGACTGAAGTGGCAGAAAGGAAACCACTTTCTGTAGAAAGGATACCCCCAAGGCAGGCCATACATGGTGGGATTTTCTTTCCTGCAACTAATGACAGTGTTGATGGTGGATTCCCTCCCACAGCACTATTGTGTCCTCCTACTGGGGAGCAAGAAGAGCTGTTCCCGCTAGGAGAACACAGTGATTACTGCTAGCGGCTATTATAGCCCATACCAATAATTGCATGAAAAATCCAACATGATGGTTGTACTCAAGTCGTATAACAATCGATTTACGTAGGTACAATCAGCCTGCCCATAGATGGTTCAAATCTCGGTCCAGTCCCTGCAGAACCGGCCAAGATTCAAACCATCTATGGCTGGCTTAAGTCAAAGGACTTAATGGACAAATGAATGTTTCCTGCACCATAAGGGATCCAGCTTTCTAATGGGGGGGACTTTGCAGATCCAAAAGCACCAAGTTAAAATCCCATGACGATTTGAGTGACCCCCTGCACAAATCCCTTTACCAATTGGGAGGCCAGCAGCTTCTGAAAAAAACTTGAAAAAAGGTGAAATCGGGCCCTGGAGTGTTAGCTGAGGCTTGCTGGCAGTAGGAGGGAGCCGTTGCTGCTTTTTTTGCCGGTGTCTGTTCACTTGAAGGTACCTGCTTATAACCCAGTCATCTCTGAAACTGCCTGTGTCCTGTACTGTATGCAAGAAAAAAGTGCATTACATGTGCTTATGTACATCCTCTGGATGATAACATTAATTTTGAAAATATCGTAAACCATACACTTTAATTTGTAGTTGCATGTATTTTTAGTCAATTAAAATATTATGCTAGAGCGTTTTGATAAAATGTTCTGTATTTTTTAATGTTCAGGACTTAAAATGCAATTTTTGACAGGTAAATATAAAGTCTGCATAGTATACTATATAATGCTTGTTGCCGAATGTGTCAGAGGAGGACACATACCCCCTTTCTGTCTCATGCAAGTAGGCAGTACTGCGTTTTCTTATTATTATTATACAGGATTTATATAGCGCAACAGTTTGCTCAGCGCTTCACAATATAACGGGAGACAATACAGTAACAATACAAGTGGGATTTGAGGGCCCTGCTCTTTGGAGCTTACAATCTAGGAGGAAGGGGCTAGTGGTACAAAAGGTAGTAACTGTGGGGGATGGCCTGGTTGGAAGAGTAGAAAATTCCAGTATTAGCTGAAGGCAGGATAGGCTTCCCTGAAGAGATAGGTTTTCAGAGAGCCTAGAAAGTGAGCAGAGTAGGCGATAGTCTGAAAAATTGGGGTAGAGAGTTCCAGAGGATGAGGGAAGCTCTGGAGAAGTCCTGGAGATGAGCATTGGGAGGAGGAGACAAGGGAGCTAGAGAGTAGGAGGTCTTGCGAGGAGCGGAGAGTACGGTTTGGGTGATATTTAAGACAAGATCGTTGATGTAATTTGGGGCAGAGTTATAAATGGCTTTATAGGTTATTGTTAGTGTTTTGAATTTTATTAGAAGCAGTCATTTTATTCTGTGCACTTTTTTGCCATCTGTGTCCCATTAAGGAGATTTCTGTTCACTTCTGTTTTGTGGAAGTGAAGAAGAATCATCTCCTAAGTGAAAAGTCAGCTGATAATGCAGCAAGTGTCCCTATTGGAAGAATTCCCTCTATTCCTGCTTGCAGTGACAACAACACATCTTCAATATTCCCCTCAATTTCATTCCAGGGGCAATGTTTACTAGAGCAAATAGAGACTGTGAATCAACCCAACAAGGATGCACAGCAATTGAAAAAAAAAAACTGACAGAGGGTCACTTCCCTACTCTTTATTCTAAAAGTGAAATAAACTTTGGCTTCAGAAACACTTTATTCTCCTGCAGACTGAAATTCAGAGCCTGATTTTAGTTCCAATCTAAAACTTTGAGAAATCCTTATTACCTATAACAAGAATAATGTAAAATGGTATAGCCATACAGAAAAGACTTTACCGAGATACAGGCAGTTAATAAAAATAAAATAATAAATATTCCAATTTAACCAAATAAAGGATCAAACCAAGGGCCACGGTGCCTCAAACAATAACCATAATCATACATTTCTGGGAACCTGCATGCTAATATGGAACTTAAACTATTTGTGTATTCTGAAAACAAAGTTTTTGGTTTATTAAAAAATAAAGTGGCAACGCCTATGCACAAACGGTGAGTAGTTCTTAGTCTGTAGCACACATAAGGACAGACTATTACTGCTACCCAGTACTGGTTGTGTTTATATATTGGCACTTGTAATAATAAAACTTTTTCTATTACAGGATGAGCAGAGTACACTGCAGCTCTTGAAAAAGCACTTGATGGTGGAACAGACCATTGAGAACTATGAGGAAACCATTGCTCAGCTGTCTCGGCAGTGCCGTAACCTCCTAGATCTAGGGCATCCCGACAGGTGAGCCTGTGACATTCCTAGGTGTCCTCACTTTATATAGCAAAGCAAAAGCCCTTGGCAAGTCACTGAATTTAGTAGTATATGTGCATAGTAACTATCCCTTTTATATTTTGGATAATTTTCATAATGGCTTTCAGCAACTGTAAGACCCATATGTTATCCTGTGTTGTAAATTGTATGGTTTCGGGAAAGAGCCAGGGAAGTCCTAGAGCTACCTTGATCAGTGGTGGCTGAAGATAACATAATGACAGTGTGCTCCAGAGGTTAACATGCTTGGCTAGGGGTGGATGGCAGCAATATAAGTGAATCTGTCAGACAAAATAATGTCCACATCTGTCAGACAAAATCTGTCAGACAAAATAATGTCCCTAAGGGCAGACACTACAAGATGTTCCTATAGCTGCAGTGAGAAAGTCACGAGCAGACTGTGACGTAACGCGTAGGTCCGGTGCACGGTGACGCACTTTCGGCGCTGGTGGCCATCTTGGTATACCCAGGAAGTCCCCACACACATGCAGTACACCCATACATCAGTAAGGAGGGAGAACTGCTTTACATGTGAGTGGCATTCTTTCATTTAATAAAGGAGTCTTGGTGTTAAGAAATACTGCGCAATAGAGGATCTTTTTTGGCTCACTGTGTTGGTGAGCTCTTGTTCCACAGAAAAACTTCCAGTCTGGGGCAACAGGAGCCTTTTAGGAGATCCACTGCAAGAGGATTGTTACCAGCCCTTTTGTAAAGGATCCAGGGTGATCCTGAAAGCTGTTTGGCCCATGGGGGTCACCGGGAGGAGGTGAGGAGGCATTTTAGCCGTAATAGAAGAAGTGTGCTGACACGGTCACGAAATTATAAAGCACCATTATAAAGCACCATTGCACATTGCATGAACGCATTTAGCACATATTGTTTGCTGTATGGACTTTTTGATTTTTTGAGTTTTTCCAAAGTGTAGACACTTATTTGGCACTTTAGCACATTTGATTATCCCCTTAGTTTTTTAAAGGGGTTTACATCATTTTGTGTGTGTATACACGTTTTTTATGAGTCACTTTATTTTGCACTAGATATTTAATTTTATAATACCCAGTCATTATTTCATTTTGGCACTGTATTGAATCATGTTTTGCACTTTTGAGTGTATTTATTCACACTTAGAGGTTTAGTTTTTTTATTAATTGAGCTCTGCACTATTTATTTAATTATTTAACACTGTTTAGTTATCAGTTCTGAGTGCTGGCAGCTTCAAGTTAGGTACACTTCCTTTTTAAAGCTCAGGAGGATCCTGGTTATTACTATTATTTCTAGAGAAATTCTTCTTTGCTGCCTCCCAAGGGCTCACATACCTGTGATTCCCTCCCTTCCCCCAAGCCAAGTGGGTGCCTTGTCAGCATAGGAGAGAGGTGCCCACCTTGCATAGTAGCATTCTGGGAGGCAGGTGCCAGAGCTCCACCAATGTGGAGCAGAAACCGAGCACTGCACGCTGAAGGCATTTGGGTTCAGGGACCCAAAGATAAAGTTGGTTACACGCATAAAGTCTTTTTTTTTTTTTTCAACCCAGTGGGCTGAACAGAAAAAAAAACTGACAGATCACCCTACTAAGTAAGCGACGCTAGTGTGGCGATCTCCCCAGCTGAGCTGTTGTGTTCTGACTGAGGGACTGCCCCACTGCCAGAACACAATGATCTGCCCTAGCAGCGAATGGCAGCCAGTGCTGATTGGATGCTGGTTTTTCAGCATGCTTGTTCAACAGAAGCCAGTTGTGAGACCGGCTTCTGTCAGACACGGAGCCATATACACTGGGCTAAAGTCTGCCAGTTCATGACAAACCAACCGCATTCGGACAATTTTTGGCCCATGTGTAACCCAGCCTTACTCGCATACTTATTAATGTATGAGCAGACACCTTGTGAATGTTGCACTGGGCATTTTGCATTTATTGTTTTTTTTTTGGTTGGCAAGTTCACTTTAAATCAGCAATTTAGTGCTATTTAAATCTCTCTGGGACTCCTGTGAAGAAAGTTCTGCACCCAACTTCCTCATCCACCTGCTGTCACCATTATAAGTTGTGATCCCTCTTTTGTTGGATTTTTCATTGGGTACAGTACAAGCAGTGCAGCCTATTTCTTAAAACTCTACAATGTGATTGGATTGAGTCTAGAACTCTAGAACATTAAATATCACCACTTGAGTTGGCAAGAGAAGCCAGAGGGTCAGCATGGCAACCAGGAAGTTAGGATTTTCATAAAGAGAGGTTGACAATGGCAGCCTGCAAATTTCTCTCAGCACAGGTTCTATTTAAAATCAAACAAGACTTAATTTATTAGCTGCTCATTTTCAAAGGGTGCTTATACTCTTTCTGTGCGTTAGATGGAAGGTGCTCTGTGGTCATGCATAGCTTCTGTACACGTAGGGAGAATCCAAATGGCACCAACAGCCCTGATTATTGTATTCCTCCTCCAGCACTCATCAGATCCTCTTTGTGTATATGAGCTGCATTTGGTAAATAAAACATTGTGCTCTGTTTATTCAGGCTGCTGTCTGTCCCTTATACAATTCACTGAGAACACTGTAACTGGCACCTGTAATTATGCATTGGTTTAACCCTTAAAGTGTATGTGTAGCCCCTGTCAGATTATTTTTTGTCTTTGTCCTGCCGGGGAAATTTACCTTTACTTCCTGTCTTAAGCAGGCCATACATCATGCAGTTTTCTTTCCTGTAACCATGTGTTCTAGGAAAGATAACTGCCCGTTTCCCCCACCAACACTGAGAATCCCTCCTGCAGCGCTATTGTGTTCTGTCAGAAGGGAGCCTTCCCGGCCGGCAGAATACAAGGATCACTGCTGATGGCTATAGTTACCTGCAGTGATTGAAATAAATAAATAAATAAAACTGACAGGCTGGTTGTCAGCTTGTCCATAGATGGAATAAAACCTGTCCGATCCCTTCTAAATCAGCCGAGATTCGATCCTTTGACCAGCTTTAGAGACACAATAAGAAATCTGCCTAAAATAAAAGGATTTCTTATCTTAGACAGTTGTCACCAAAACATTTTCCCCACTGAATGGTCTAAGCCTAGGACACAATATAAGAAAATCGGACAGCTGATCGTCTGCTTTTTCCATGAAAGCACGTATCATGATGTAGTTGGAATTGTAAGAAACTTCTCAGCCGACAAAGGCAAACGTAGCTACGTACTAGCATAGTAGAAGAGGTAGTGTGGGGCCGTTCTATGCTTCCGATCATGTGTTTGTCAAAATCAGATGTGTTCTCGTACAATAAAAATTTTCTAGCTTGCACCCTTGGTTTTTGTCGTATGAAAAGTTGCAATCGGCTGTCAAAAGCACTATACTAACAATCAGATAATCGGACCATCATTCCTCATTTGCGTACAATCTTCTTGTGGTGTGTACGACATAACCCTTACCTCTTGATCTCGTGACATATTTAAAGTTTTGGATTTCCCAACCCTCTCTGTTTCATTAACAATGGTCAACAGAGCAAATAGAGGGGCAATGCTTACCTTGGGACCAGGGGCGGACTGACCATTTGGAAACTTGAGCCCGAGGTCAGTAGGGGGCCCATGAGATGCCCCTGGTACCTTTTTTGAGTTTGGGCAAGAACACAGGGGCCCCATGATCCTCTATTGCCCGGGAGCCCCATGAGTTGTCAGTCCGCCCCTGCTTGGGACTGACCCCCTAATTTGATTTTCTGAGCTGCTCTCATATTTTCCTGATACAGTAGGGTGGGTGAACATTGTCCCCCCTAGGAAATGAAGTGTGCTACTGGCAGGGTCACCATGCGAAAAAAAAACCTAATGCAGCCACCACATCTAAGGACTGGTAAGCTGCAATATAGAATAGTTTTCTTCTTGGTTTTATATATGCTTTAATTTATGTGAATGTTACACCATGGCTTCAACTATGTGTTCTGGTAGATAATGCTATTATAGATTACAAGATTATGTAGCTGAGGGGTTTCATGATTCTTAAGAGTATGATGATGTGCAAGTGTTCTCTGCATGGTTTTCCTGACTAATGCGCTGACTACTGTCCTTGCATAGTGAGCAGATAAGTAGGCGGCAGTCTCAGATTGATCGGCTCTACGTGTCTCTGAAGGACCTGGTGGAGGAGCGCAAGGGGCGTCTGGAACAGCAGTATTGGCTCTTTCAGCTGAGCCGCGAGGTGGATGAGCTGGAGCAGTGGATTGCAGAGAAGGAGGTGGTGGCTGGGTCTCCGGAGCTGGGCCAGGATTTTGAACATGTAACAGTAAGTACTACCTGAAAGCAATCTATTCTGTAATGCCAATTTGAGTTTTGCACCATACTTAACCCCAATATTTATTTATTTATTTCAGGTACTTCTATAGCGCTGTCAATATTACGCAGCGTTTTACATATATATTGTACATTCACATCAGTCCCTAACCCTCAAGGGGTGTACAATCTAAAGTCCCTAACTCACATTCATACATACACATACTAGGGCCAATTTAGACAGGAGCCGATGTCTTTGTAGTGTGGGAGGAAACCAGAGAACCCAGAAGAAACCCACGCAGGCACAGGGAGAACATGCAAACTACAGGCAGGAGGTGCCATGGCTGGGATTCAAACCAACAACCTTAGTACCGCCAGGCGGAAGTGCTAACCATTTAGCCACTGTGCTGTAATCGTAACTATGTTAAAGGATTCCTTTCTAAATGTTATGGTGCAACTAGGGTTCAGTGGAACTGTAGGGTTCCTCAAGAGGTTGTCAGGGGCCCTTTGAGCTGTGGATGATTCACCTCCTATCTGAACGTGCATGCATAGTTTTGGATCCAATTCCACTTGGCAGAGCCAGTGGCATGACAGCAGTGATCTTTTTAGCTGTCTGTTATGATGGCACTCTGACCACAGGGAAATTCTTCCTACATCATTAATAAAAGAGATATTTTTTCCATTGACCCCCCAATAAATACATTTTAGCATGGGTTACTTTAGAACTAAACTTTAGGCTTTTAGGACTTTTAGTATCTTATAAAATGTACCTTTTGCCATTAAAAAGAAGGGACTGATGTGTAAATTTGTGCCTTGTTAGTTCCCAGCCAGCAGCCCCAAACTGATATTTCTATATCCCATGTCCTGCCTGTGAGTTCAGAAATGAAATGTACATAAGAAAGGAAGAGGACAAAAATCCCTTTTTTATCTTTGCTTCCATCAGACTTTCTGTTAGAGAGTGGCTATGTTTGGTCCTTCTGTATGTAGGAATGTGGCCACTCTCTTGTGCTTGCTCCCTGGAAGCACTATAGGATTTGTAGTGTACATAGATTGGTGCATGTGACCGCAGCTAACATGCACATCTCGCTCTTAACAAATAGAAGTGATGGGGAAAGGAGAGGTTTGGGAGCACACAGAGGACATTCCAATGAGGTACAAAAACACAGTAGTAAACCATTTTAAGAAAAAAATTAATTACAGGGTCATTAAGTAGTGGATATGTATGGATTATTTCTAGAAAAAAGGATATCTTTAGTGTCATTTTCACTTTTGCAAAGGAAATTGTACTTACCTTAGTTAATGTGCTGAAAATGTACTTTGCAAAGAATACCCAATCATGTGCAAGCAAAATAAAAACAGAATTTATGCTTGCATATGATTGAATGATAGAGATCAGTACATCTTCCCCTTTACTAAGGTAAGGGAAATTTCCCTACCAAAGTGAAAATGTACTTTGTTCCTTTAGTAAATCTGCAACAGTGCCTTCTAGATGTTTAGCATTTTAAACAAGTAAAAATAGTGATAAATGATAAAACTAACAAAAAATCACCATGTTTTCACTTTTAAATGCACCTGCTCCATTTTTATTTAATTTATTACAGGTACTTATATAGCACCATCAATTTACACGGTGCTTTACATATATATCTATATACACTGTATATTGTACATTCACACGAGTCCCTGCCCTCAAGGAGCTTACAGTCTAATACATGCTAGGGCCAATTTAGACAGGAGCCAATTTTCCTTCCAGCATGTCTTTGAAGTGTGGGAGGAAATCCATGGAGGTACAGGGAGAACATGCAAACTCTATGCTGGGAGCCCTGTGGTTGGGATGCAAACCAATGACCCTACTGCTGCTAGGTGGAAGTGTTAACCACTTAACCACTGTGCTTATCCCTGATAGTGGACTGAGAACAAGCTTAGGGATTAGTCGGGTACACCTAAGCGTCAAACGTTTACACATTTCCTATGCCCACCAAGTGCCCACAAAGCAGTGGGTGGGAAAGGGTGAACTTAGCTGAGTAGCTCAGTGCACACACCAAGGAAGAGTTCGCTTTGCTCTGTGACATGTCTGTTTTCATTCAGACTGAACCCAACACTATGTTCCCATTGTCTAACACTTGGGGAGGGGAATATACTAAAATGGGAGCACACTGAATTTGGTGCAGCTATGCATAGTAACCAATCAGATCCTAACTTCTGCTTGTTAAGTTAAGCTTTGACAATAAAACCTGGAAGCTGATTGGTTACTATGCACAGCTGCACCTGATTCTGTGTGCCCCAATTTTATTAGATCCCCCCTACTGTTTGTCCCAGGTAGTCCTTAGCCAGCCAGCTGAAAGGTATCCCACAACTTATGTCAGTGGTCAGTGTGTCATCCCCATCAAGATGAGCTCCTTTTTCTTTTATAAACTTCACAAAGTTTACAATTTTCAAATATGATCACTTAAATTACCATCCAAGTTACATATCATCTGTTCATCTCTTATAGCTTCTTCAGGAGAAGTTCACAGAGTTTGTCACTGAGACGGGCAGTATAGGACAGGAACGCATCTCTGCTGTGAATCAGATGGTGGATGAACTCATTGACTATGGCCACTCGGATGCAGCCACCATAGCAGAGTGGAAAGATGGTGTGAATGAGGCCTGGGCGGACTTGCTGGAACTGATGGAGACAAGAGCGCAGATGCTGTCTGCTTCTCATGAACTACAGAAGTTCTTTAATGACTGCAAAGAGGTCCTGTCCCAGGTGGAGGAGAAGAAGCAGAGGATCCCAGAGGTGAAGGCACAGGAAGCTCGCCTCTCAGCTGGTTCACTGCAGCGAATTCTTAGCTCTTTTGAACATGACATTCAGGTCCTTGTCACTCAGGTGAGTTTTTCTTTCACTTCTTTACCAATGTCTATCATACAGATACATTTGTGAGACCAATGGCCCCTAGTAGGCTTGAATTCAAACTATGCCCAAAAATGCTTTTTGCTAGGTTGTCTTTCATTCAGGAAGAAGCCTATCCTACGTAGGGGTTTGTATTATTTTTGTTTGTATTATATTTCCGTGCAAAATTTACACAAATTCAGGGCCTTAATGTGGTTGTAAAGGCCGAAGGTTTTTTATTTGTATTATATTTCTGTGCAAAATATACACAAATTTAGAGTTTTAATGTTGTAAAGGCTGAAGGTTTTTTACCTTTATCTATCTATTCATGAAGGTGAAAAAACCTATGTGCTGCTCCCCCCACAGCCCCCTCCCTTATACTCACCTGAGCCCCTCTCTCAGTCCAGCAATGTGCAAGGGAGCCTTGGCTGTCCTGGGTCTCTCTCTCCCCACTGGCTGAGACACAGCAGCAGGAGCCATTGGCTCCCACTGCTGACAATCATGCGAGTGAGCCAATAAGGAGAGAGTGGGACCGAGATGTAACTCTATTTATCTTATGGACGCATAGAGTGGGGCTCAGGAGTAAGCACACAGCAGTGTCCCCATAGCAAGCGGCTTGCTATTGGAGGCACTGGTCAAGGCGGAGGAGCCAGGAGCATCAGCCGGGAACCCAAGAAGAAGAGGATTGGGGCTGCTGTGTGCAAAACCATTGCACAGAGCAGGTATGTATGACATGTTTGTTATTAAAAACAAAAAAACAATAACCTTTAGAATCCTCTTACCCTGTTATCCTCTCAAACTGTGGTGGTGAGCTGTGGGAAGAAAAATCTTTATTTAGACACCACATGAGTGCATATGCTAGATTTCCTGTTTCATGCAGACCTCGGTGTAATCGGTGTAGGCGACGCAGGAAGTCATTCACCTTCTGGTTATACTTTCTGCAGAAGGATTGGATATTGGGAAACACTGTAGGCCTTCCCAGGATAGGTACTACCAGCATGCTTTTTTTGCTAGGAAGGTGACACTTTTTTCTCAGCTCTGCAAGTAAAAGTCTAATCTAATTTTGCTAGAATCTTTTTTCTCCAATCAAGACTCTACTCTCTCTGCTAGAGCTGGTCTGTTTAATTGCAGCTATCTAGCGGGGCCATTTTCAGCCTGGCACTTAGAGTGCCGTGTCTGGACCCTGCTGGACTGGAAGTGACTTTTTGGCCACGTGGTCTCAAGGATCAGGTTCTACTCTTTCCTGTCAAGGCGCACTGTACTAGATCTGTGAATCTGTGAGTGGTTCTTGGGCTTTTGAGCATCAAGCCTCTGTTTACTAGATTTGCAAGGGTAGTCCTCTGTTCCCATGTCCCCCAAGGTCTACCAAGTGAATGTTTAGGCCTCTTATGTCCACTTTGGGTGTAATATTCTTCAGGTGGCTTTTGGACTTCCCATATTCCTCAGTGGATGAGAAAGAAAATAGGATTTTTGAACTCATAAAATCCTTTTTTTAGATTGACCGTAAAATCCTTTTCCTTTTCTTCTTTTTGTTTCTACTGGCAAACAAAAAACTGTAGACCAGCTGAAGATAACCCCTGCTACTACCAGCATGACTCAGTTGAGTAGCGAGCAGAACCAAGATCATGTGAACTCCCTCAATGAACTTGACATGTGGCAGGTCTCATGACCAGTGTAGAGAGCCACAGGCAAAGTCCTCCCTGTATCTGCCATACTGGTCAGAGCTTTGCATGTGAGTGGGAATAGTAAGTCTCCAGTGCCACGCCAATCAGAGCTCTTCACTGCCCACTCACAGCACATCCCTCCCCAGCTGTCTCACCTCCTGCCCACAGTTCATCCTTCCCAGCATCCAGCATGAAGACTTTGCTAACAGTACATACCTTTTGACATCCAGCACCAAATCCTTTCTCCACCATCATAACCATTCCCTCCACTCTATCAGTGGTGCTGCTTCTGGCCTCTGCCACTTGCACACTGCACTCCACTCTTGTCAATAGGTTCCCCTCTGCTAGCTTTCTTCTAAAAGATCAGGGTGCTTCTCAATTTTTCCAAAGAAGCTGTAAAGTTTTATAATTTTTTTAGCTCTGGTAATCCTGGTAAAGTGCAGACAGTTGAAATCCCTAGCATCATGGATTGGGTAAATAAAAAGGAATTGTGGTCTATGGTCTGTGGTTCTGTGGCCACCTGTTTAATCATGTTCATAGACCCTAGGATCATATATTTAACTACGTCTGTTATGGTTGTCATTGTTGAAAAATGCAGCACTGTTTGGCCGTAATCGTTTTCATGCCAACCCTTGCTTTACCCTGTGCCTTTTCTCTGATGCCCAGGTACGACAGCTGCAGGAGAATGCTGCCCAACTGCGCACAGTATATGCAGGCGAGAATGCGGCTGCCATTGTCACCAGTGAGCAGGAAGTAATGCGTTCCTGGAAGGAGTTGCTAACCACCTGTGAAGAATGCAGGCTGCAGATCACCACTACCAGTGACCGCATGAAGTTCCTGGGTCTTGTGAAGGACCTGATCTCCTGGATGGACAGTATTATCTGTCAGATTGGAACTGCAGAGAAACCCAGGTAAGGGGTTGTGGAATGATGGTTGGCATAAGCAGCCATTAAAAATGAGACTATGTAGTGCACAAAGCTGCCATTGGGACAGGCCATGCAGGGAAAACTCCTTACTGGGTCCACAGAGAATAAAGACTTGACAGAGGTTCTAAATCTTTCCATTTTGTTACTTAACAACGTCAAGTCCGGACACTTTCACCCCCTTCCAGTCCAGGCCAGTTTTCAGCTTTCAGTGCTATCAGTGCTATTGCAGTCATGCAACACTGTACCCATATGAATTTTTAGCATTTTTTTGAGACAGATAAACCTTTATTTTGGTGGTATTTATTCACCGCTGGGATTTTTATTTTTTTGCTATATAAATGAAAAGTCCAAAATTTTTTTGAAAAAAAAAGTGTTTTTCTTATAAAATTTTGCAAATAAATAATCTTTCGTCATAAATCTTGGCCAAAATGTATTAATCTATCTTTTTAGTAAAAAAAAAAATTACCCAAATTAGTTTATAACCAAAAATTATAATTTTTCAAAAATGTTTTTTTACATTTTTATTTTTTTTTTATTATTATTTATGTTTTTTTTTAACATACTCTCACCCTAACAGTACAGTGTCACCATAGTGTTTGCTTTTACTCCCATAAAGGCTGTAAAGGCAATCATTTCTCCTTCTCACTAGGCTGCATTTTTGCAGCCATTGAGAAATACTGCAAATTCTGTGATTGGTCACAGCTTGTCACATGGTACAAGGCTGTTGTGAATAGCCTTGTACCATGTGACCTCTGATCATTCACAGATTTCACAAGTAGTAAGCAATGATGTCAGGAAGTGACATCTTGTTTAGTACTATTCATGTGATCACTGATTGGCCAATCAGTGATCACATGATCGGGACCTCACACAGAGGTCCTGTACAGCGATCGGTGCTCTGCTGTGTCGCTGTGTCCAGAGGATAGCAAGAGGTTTGCTAGGCAGGGGGGAGGAGCAAGGACCGCTGGTGGGAGGACCCAAAAAGAAAAGGAGCGCGGATTGCTCTGTGTAAAATCATTACAAAGAGCAGGTGAGTATGACATGTTTGTTATTTTTTTAAATTGCAACCTTTAGAATCACTGTTAAGAGCAGTTAACCACAGAGGACAAGGGGGGGATCAGGAAGGATTTTTTTCCCTGCAGGAGCAAATTGGATCATGCTTTGCTGGGTGTTTTTCCTTCCTCTGGATCAACTGTGGGTGTAGGATAACTTTTTTTTCTTTTAATGGTTGAACTGGGTGGACTTTTGTCTTTTTTTCAGCCAGACTAACTATGTAACCTTTTCAGTGTGCTCCCCCACCCCGCAAAAGTACGTTTTTTTTTAATTCCTGGAGTTCTGCTTTAGTCTCTCATACTAGGGGTGAGTTACATATTTTTTCTGTTTTCCATATATTCTTAGGGATGTGTCTTCCGTGGAAGTTCTCATGAGTTATCATCAGGGATTAAAGAGTGAAATTGAGGCAAGAAATAAGAGAATTGCGGACTGTGTAGAGCTAGGAAAGTCCTTGGTCCTAAACAAGAGGCCGGCGTCTGAAGAGGTAGGTGTGTCACAGCCCAGAATCTAGCCAGTTATTTGCTTACATGAAACACCCCCTGATTATTGTCAGAGCTGTATGGACTTAAATAGAAGGATCTCTAAGTTATTAAAACAGGAACAATGATACAAATACATACTGTATGTTTGAAAGGAGGCCAGTTTAATATATTAAAAGACTTGTTTCTCTGTGTAGCTTGTAAAGGTACATAGCGGCAGCCATATTTGCAAATTACACATTTTGACGCTTTATTTTACCAGTCTACCAGATAGGATCGGTCTGAAAAGGCACTCTGCAGATTCTAATGACTGTAAACATCCACAATGCTCCTGATCACCAGAGACTATGGGGTCTATTTATAAATAGTTCACTGCCTCACATCCATCACAAATAATCCCTATAATGGGTCTAATATGTGTATTTCCTAGAATCGTCAGCTCCATCTATTGGCCATAATGCAGTATATTTCTGAAATGCCCCAATCAAGAAAATACTGTTAAAAAAAGCGGAAGAGTATGCATTTTTACTGCATTTTTGCAACGGAGTAGTGTGAAAGCAGCCAAAAACGCAACTGACCGATGTGAAGCATTACAGAGGATTTAAAGGGATTCATTTTTCTTCCACTTTTTTCTTATTTAACTGAAAAACTGATCAGTGTGACAGGGCCCTAAAATGGTTTTAAAAAATATTTTTTACCTTTTTATGTGTTTATGAGATAGTCTATCGCTGGTTGCAAGCATACATATAATACATAAGGGGGGATATGATCTCCATGTATAATACATAAGGGGGGATATGATCTCCATGTATAATACATAAGGGGGGATATGATCACCATGTATAATACATAAAGGGGGATATGATCTCCATGTATAATACATAAGGGGGATATGATCTCCATGTATAATACATAAGGGGGGATATGATCTCCATGTATAATACATAAGGGGGGATATGATCTCCATGTATAATACATAAGGGGGATATGATCTCCATGTATAATACATAAGGGGGGATATGATCTCCATGTATAATACATAAGGGGGGGATATGATCTCCATGTATAATACATAAGGGGGAATATGATCTCCATGTAACGGAACCGGAACCCAGACCGCACTGGTTTTTCCGTTATAGCACAACTTCCCCTGTCCGAACACCGTCCACGGACCACACCCTTGAAATCCCTCAGGAAAATAGACAATACCCAGCTCTTACTAAAACAGGAAGCCAACAACTCTTTATTTTACACAAACAACATGTTTTATACAGAGGGCGGGGAAACACAACCAGGAACAGGAAATACATCATCAGCCCACCCTCTCAGTGGGAAGGGCTACAGTATAGGCAGGAAACACCTCATCACCCCTCCCCATCCAACCAGACACAGAACAATGGGATGCAACCATGTGGCAAAGGACATTGACCAACCCCCACACCAATACACAAACAGTACATCCCATAATAGTTGGCTGGACAGGAAGACACAGCACAATGGGGGGTAGCACATGGTAAACAGACAATGGACAGCCATGTGGCCTAGACAAAGAAACACACACTGTACACAGGACTCAGACATTCACATACACACCCTGTAACCCTTAACAGGCACAGGGTGGGTTAAACATAATGATTTGGGGAGATGACACAGAGGTCCCCCCACCCCCAAAAGTCGCTCCCGTCACACTCCATGTATAATACATAAAGGGGGATATGATCTCCATGTATAATACATAAGGGGGGGATATGATCTCCATGTATAATACATAAGGGGGGATATGATCACCATGTATAATACATAAGGGGGGATATGATCTCCATGTATAATACATAAGGGGGATATGATCTCCATGTATAATACATAAGGGGGGATATGATCTCCATGTATATTACATAAGGGGAGATATGATCACCATGTATAATACATAAGGGGGATATGATCTCCATGTATAATACATAAGGGGATATGATCTCCATGTATAATACATAAGGGGGGATATGATCTCCATGTATAATACATAAGGGGGGATATGATCTCCATGTATATTACATAAGGGGAGATATGATCACCATGTATAATACATAAGGGGGATATGATCTCCATGTATAATACATAAGGGGGATATGATCTCCATGTATAATACATAAGGGGGGATATGATCTCCATGTATAATACATACGAGGGGATATGATCTCCATGTATAATACATAAGGGGGGATATGATCTCCATGTATATTACATAAGGGGAGATATGATCACCATGTATAATACATAAGGGGGATATGATCTCCATGTATAATACATAAGGGGGATATGATCTCCATGTATAATACATAAGGGGGGATATGATCTCCATGTATAATACATAAGGGGGGATATGATCTTCATGTATAATACATAAGGGGGGATATGATCTCCATGTATAATACATAAGGGGGGATATGATCTCCATGTATAATACATAAGGGGGGGATATGATCTCCATGTATAATACATAAGGGGGGATATGATCTCCATGTATAATACATAAGGGGGGATATGATCCCCATGTATAATACATAAGGGGGGATATGATCCCCATGTATAATACATAAGGGGGGATTTGATCACCATGTATAATACATAAGGGGGGATATGATACCCATGTATAATACATAAGGGGGGATATGATCTCCATGTATAATACATAAGGGGGATATGATCACCATGTATAATACATAAGGGGGATATGATCTCCGTGTATAATACATAAGGGGGATATGATCTCCATGTATAATACATAAGGGGGATATGATCTCCATGTATAATACATAAGAGGGGATATGATCTCCATGTATAATACATAAGGGGGGATATGATCTCCATGTATAATACATAAGGGGGGATATGATCTCCATGTATAATACATAAGGGGGGATATGATCACCCCTCTAAATAAATACATAAGGGGGATATGATATCCATGTATAAATACATAAGGGGGGATATGATCTCCATGTATAAATACATAAGGGGGGATATGATCTCCATGTATAATACATAAGGGGGGATATGATCTCCATGTATAATACATAAGGGGGATATGATCTCCATGTATAATACATAAGGGGGATATGATCTCCATGTATAATACATAACGGGGGATATGATCACCCTGTATAATACATAAGGGGGATATGATCTCCATGTATAATACATAAGGGGGGATATGATCTCCATGTATAATACATAAGGGGGGATATGATCTCCATGTATAATACATAAGGGGGGATATGATCTCCATGTATAATACATAAGGGGGGATATGATCACCCTGTATAATACATAAGGGGGATATGATCTCCATGTATAATACATAAGGGGGGATATGATCTCCATGTATAATACATAAGGGGGGATATGATCTCCATGTATAAATACATCAGTGGTTCATATAGGGAACTCGGTGTAGAGTTATTCACCCTGAGGTCATCACAGAGGACAAGGGGGCATTCTTTACGTCTGGAGGAAAAGAAATGTAATCTACAAACACAGAAAGGTTTCCTCACAGTCAGAGCTGTGTAAATGTGTTATAGACTCCCTGAAGAGTTGGTTCTGGCCAGCTCAGTGGATTGCTTTAAAAAAGTCCTGGAATCTTTCCTAGATACACAGAATATAACTGGATATAACATTTATAGGTAAAGTTGATCCAGGGAATATCCGATTGCCTCTCGGGGGATCAGGAAGGAATTTCTTTTCCCTGCAGGAGCAAATAGGACCATGCTTTGCTGGGTTTTTTGCCTTCCTCTGGATCATCTGTGGGTGTAGGATTATTATTTTTTTTTTTTTTTTAATGGTTGAACTGGATGGACTTTTATCTTTTTTCAGCCAGACTAACTATGTAACTATGTGTGATAAACTGTTGGGCAATATAATTAAATTACAACCACTACCATTATATTCTCCAGGGTCTTCACTTTCATAAAATGCATACAGTTTGGTGGTTTTAACTAATCCTCAAGCTTAAAATGAGCATTTTAACTTGTGCAGAAAAACACAGACGTGTCTGGCAGTGAAAAGTTTAAACAAAACCGCTCTGAATTTTGATTGGAGAACTGTAGCCTGTGCCTTCCACAATATGCATGATTTAATGTCTCCTAGATTGTAAGCTCCGAGGAGCAGGGCCCTCCTATCCCCCTTGCATTGAACGGTATTATTATTATTATACAGTATTTATATAGCGCCAACAGTTCGCTCAGCACTGTACATTACAATGGGGGACAATACATGAGACAGTACAATAACAATACAATGTGATACACGAGGGGTTCGAGGGCCCTGCTCCTTGGAGCTTGCAATCTAGGAAGGAGGGGATAGTGGTACGGGAGGAATAGCTGTGGGGGATGGAGTGGTAGGAAGAGTGGAGGAGATCGGCAATTAGCAAAGGGCGGGGTAGGCTTCCCTGAAGAGGTGGGTTTTCAGGGTGCGCCTAAAGGAGAGGAGAGTAGGTGATAGTCTGATGGATTGGGGTAGGGAGTTCAATAGGATGGGTGATACCCTGGAGAAGTCCTGGAGGCGGGCATGGGAGGAGGAGACCAGGGAACTAGAGAGAAGGAGGTCTTGTGAGGAGCGGAGAGTGCGTTTTGGGTGGTATTTGGGTATTAGGTCGGTGATGTAGTTTGGGGCAGAGTTATGGACAGCTATGTACGTCAGTGTTAGCATTTTGAATTTGATCTGTTGGGTAATCGGAAGCCAGTGGAGGGATTGGCAGAGGGGGGTGGCGGAAACGGAGCGGTTGGTAAGGTGGATGAGTCTGGCCGCCATATTCAGGATCGACTGAAGCGGGGATAGCCTGTGGTGAGGCAGGCCAGTGAGGCGGGAGTTGCAGTAATCGAGTCATGATATGATGAGGGAGTGGATGAGTTGCTTAGTAGATTCTGGGGTTAGGAACGTGCGTATTTTGGAGATGTTGCGGAGGTGGAGTCTGCATGAGTTTTGTAGCGATTGGACTTGGGGCTGGAAGGACAGATTGCAGTCTAGAATGACACCAAGTACACTGGCATGCGGGGTGGGACTGATGGTGGCATTGTTGGTTGTGATGGAGAAGTCGGGGGAGGGGGGGCACGGACTGGGGGGAAAACTAGGAGCTCGATTTTGGAGAGGTTTAGTTTAAGGAAGTGAAGCGACATCCAATCTGATATGTCGTTCAGTAGGTTTGTGATTCGGGCGGAGACTGAAGGGGTGAGGCAAGGGGTCGAGAGATAGATTTGCGTGTCGTCGGCATAGAGGTGGTAGTTGAAGCTGTGAGAGTGTATCAGTTGGCCAAGGGAGGAGGTGTAGATGGAGAAGAGAAGGGGCCCAAGGACAGAGCCTTGAGGGACCCCAACAGAGAGGGGAGTAAGGGGAAGGTGGTAGCGTTATAGGTAATGCTGAAGGAGCGTTGTGATAGGTAGGAGGAGAGCCAGGAGATAGCGGAGTCTCTGGGGCCAAGGGAGTGTAGTTTTTTGAGGAGGAGGGGGTGGTCGACTGTGTCGAAAGCCACGGAGAGGTCGAGGAGTAGGAGCACTGAGTAATGGCCATTAGCTTTGGCGGTTAGAAGGTCGTTGGAGAGTTTGAGTAAGGCAGTTTCGGTGGAGTGTAGGGGACGGAAGCCGGACTGTAGGGGGTCGAGGAGGTTGTTGTAGTTGAGGTGGGAGCTTAGGTGATTATAGATTAAGCGCTCAAGGAGTTTGGATGTACATCGTGTTCCAAATTATTATGCAAATTATATTTTTCTCATTTACCTAAATAACTGATGTAAATAACAGTCAGCATAATTCTCATGTTATCAACTATTAAGAGTACTATTCAAATTTTATTGAACAAACCTCCTAATGAAAACAGTATTTTTTTAAACATAAAACACTTCCAATGCACTGTTCCAAATTATTACGCAGTGTAAGTTTCAAAACACTTTATAGGTTGTAAAGAACTGAAAATTGTCATTTGTTGTGTTTGCTTTAACTTTTTAAACATTTTAACAGGTCACGTTACATTGTAACATAGGACCCCTTATTTGATAGCAGCTTCACAAGTCTTGAATCCATTGAACTTGTGAGTTTTTGGACAGTTTGAATTTGTTTGCAAGATGTCAGAATAGCCTCCCAGAGCTGCTGTTTGGATGTAAACTGTCTCCCAGCCTCATAGATCTTTTGCTTGAGGATGCTCCAAAGGTTCTCAATAGGATTGAGGTCAGGGGAGGATGGAGGCCACACCATGACTTTCTCTCCTTTTATCCCCATAACAGCCATTGATGCAGAGGTATTATTTGCAGCATGAGATGGTGCATTGTCATGCATGAAGATGATTTTATTACGGAAAGCATAGTTCTTCCTTCTGTCCCAGGGAAGAAAGTGGTCAGTCATAAACTCCACATACTTTGCAGGTCATCTTTACACCTTTGGGGCCCCTAAAGGGGCTGACCAGCTCTGTTCCCATGATTCCGGCCCAAAACATGACTCCACCACCGCCTTGCTTATGTCGCAGCCTTGTTGGAACAGGGTGGCCGTCCACCAACTATCCACTACTCTATCCATCTGGACCATCCAGGGTTGCACGGCACTCATCAGTGAACAGGACTGTTTGAAAATTAGTCTTCATGTATTTTTCTGCCCAATGCAGCCGTTTCTGCTTGTGAGCATTGGTTATTAGTGGCCGAATAGAAGGTTTATGCAGGTTTATGTCCGTGGGACTCCAGAGGCAGCAGCTTCAAATATCTGTTTGCTGCTATGTACTGGTATTTTAGCAGATGCTCTCTTGATCCGATGCATGGATCTGGCAGAAATCTTCCTCAATGTGCCTTTATCTGCATGAACTCGTCTGTGCACTGAATTAGCCACAAAGCCACAAATCTCTTAATAGTGCGATGATCACGCTTAAGTTTTTGTGAAATATCTGTTTTCATACCTTGTCCAAGGCATTGAACTATTTCACTCTTTTCGGCAGCAGAGAGATCCTTTTTCTTCCCCATATTGCTTGAAAATGGTGCTCTGCTTAATAATGTGGAACACCCTCCTTTAGCAGTTTTTCCTTAAATTGGGCTCACCTGCCAATCTAATTATCACAGGTGTCCGAGATTATTTTCAGTGATCAAAAGAGCCCTGACACACAATGCCATCCATGAGTTACATTGAAAAACAAAATATTTAATCTTTGTGACACTTAAATAGAATTTGCATAATAATGTGGAACACGGTGTAAATGGCAGCAGGGAGATGGGTCTAAGGTTGTTCAGGTGGGTGGGGTCCAAGGAGGGCTTTTTAAGTATGGGAGTGATGTGCGCGTGCTTCAGAGGAGAAGGGAATGCGCCAGAAGAGAGGGGGAGATTAAAGATGTGGGTGAGGGAGCGTAGGATGGAGGAGGAGAGAGATTGTAGGAGTTGTGAGGGGACAGGGTCGAGGGGGCAGGTGGTGAGGTGGGCTTCAGAGAAGACCTTAGTGACCTCAGTGGTAGTAAGGTCGAAGGAGTGGAGTGTTGAGGGGGCTTCAGTGTGAGGGATGTTAGGTGGGGTGGAGGTCTGGACAGTGGTGAGGCCAAGGGAGAGGGGTGTTGAGGGGGTCATCGTATGAGAGGTGATAGGTGGGGTGGAAGTCTGAGCAGCGGCGATGTCCCTGCGAATTGTGTTAATCTTGTTTTTGAAGTGATTGGCAATCTCGTGGGCGGTGAGTGAGGTACTGGGTGGAGGTGGGGGCAGAGAGAGTAGGGAGTTGAAAGTAGAGAAGAGCCGGCGAGGACAGGTGGAGAGGGTATTGATGAGGGTCAGAAAGTAGGCTTGTTTGGCAGCGTGGAAGGAGGAGGTGTAGGTGTGGAAGGCAGATTTATAATGGGTGAACGCTAGTTGGGATCTGGTTTTGCGCCATAGTCGCTCCATAGTCGTTGCTGTACTGTCTCCCATTATATTGTAAAGCACTGATCAAACTGTTGGCGCTATATAAATCCTGTATAATAATAATATAATAATAATGTGCCTTTTATGATTTCAGATTAAGCAGAGCCTGGACAAGCTGATGGCAAAGAAGAAGGAGATGCTGGACAAATGGCACAAACACTGGGAATGGCTGCAGCAGAGTAAGTGTGTGCAGGCCGCGTGAACCGAGTCGCAGATCGCGGTATGCCGTCCAGTCCAGCTTGCCTTTTTGTTTTGGATTTATGCTGCATTACTTTTCAGAATGTCCTACTTAATCTCCCTCCCTGATAGAGAATGAGGCGGGCAGCCCCCTGCCAACTAATTAATGTTACCATAGAAACTTTTACAGCTCCCACACTCTAGACTCCCAGCCCTCCTGATGAATGCGGGGGAGACACAAGCAAAATGGATGGGGCTTCAACTGCTTAATATTTAACTGCATAAGCTACCAGAAAACCTACTGCCAGCTATACCGGTGCCACAGGAGTGTAATGGTGCAAAGGAACACTGTTTCTATAGAATTGTTATCGGTGCAGGCTTTTAGCCATTTATCACTTCCATGGAAAAGTTATTGGTGCAGTGTACCCGAGTATGCCTGTAAAGATGAATAGTATCATGTGAACCACTCAGTCTAAAGGTTTTATTTCTTCTTGTTACTCTAAGTCAGGGGCCTCCTAATTTTTTGAAACAAAGGGCCAGTTTACTGCCCTTCAGTCTTTACTGGGGCCAGACTTTGGTCAGTGGGAGTAGAAAATGCCATGGGCTTGGTTTACTAAATGGAAGTAAAAAAATGACATAATTGGTAACAGTGGAAGGAATAATACCCCATAATTGGAGTCAGTGGGAGGAACAGTGCCCAAACATTGATGTCAGTGGAAGGAATAGTGCAGCATAACTTGTGTTAGTGGAAGGAATAGTGCCCCATAATTGGTGTCAATGGGGGGAATAGTACTTCATGACTGGTGTCAGTGGAAGGAATAGTGCCCCATGACTGGTATCAGTGGGAGGAATAGTACCCCATGACTGGCGTCAGTGGGAGGAATAGTACCCCATGACTGGTGTCAGTGGGAGGAATAGTACCCCATGACTGGTGTCAGTGGAAGGAATAGTACCCCATAATTGTCAGTGGGAGGAATAGTGCCCCAATCATTGGTGTCAGTGGGAGGAATAGTGCCCCAATCATTGGTGTCAGTGGGAGGAATAGTGCCCCAATAATTGGTGTCAGTGGGAGGAATAGTGCCCCAATCATTGGCGTCAGTGGGAGGAAAAGTGCCCCAATCATTGGTGTCAGTGGGAGGAATAGTGCCCCAATCATTGGTGTCAGTGGGAGGAATAGTGCCCCAATCATTGGTGTCAGTGGGAGGAATAGTGCCCCAATCATTGGTGTCAGTGGGAGGAATAGTGCCCCGTCGTTGGTGTCAGTGGGAGGAATAGTGCCCCATTGTTGGTGTCAGTGGGAGGAATAGTGCCCCATTGTTGGTGTCAGTGGGAGGAATAGTGCCCTGTCTTTGGTGTCATTGGAAGGAATAGTGCCCTGTCTTTGGTGTCAGTGGAAGGGATAGTGCCTCGTATAAGTGGAGTGTACCAAGGGCCAGATAAAGGCATGCAAAGGACCACATCCAGCCCACAGGCTGCAGTTTGGAAACCCCTGCTCTAAGTTGTTTCCTGAGCATCACAAACAGTCCCAAGCTAGGGCTAGGGAGTTGGATATGGATCAGTGGTAACTCTTCATCCATTTCTAGAACTTCCTGTCTTCTGCCTCCTCCCTACTCCCTCTTAAACAATTTGGGGAAAAAATGTGAAAAATAAATAATTTTATATTTCTGTTTCAGTTCCTGAATAATTGTCTAGGTGAGCATGATAAGCGCATTGTTCAGCATGGGCCAACTTGCGCATTTGCAGAAAGCCACGGGTCTCTCTCTAGCAGTCCTGTAGACTGGCAAAGACCTGTAGCCTTCTCTGCATGTTCAAAATTCTCAACGGGACATGTGCAGATACCCTGCAAGTCTGCCAGTCTATGGGACCTGTCAGAAACCCGCAGATCTCATGCATGCCCACACATGCCACGGGTCTCTGCCAGGTCCTTTTTTTTAAACTAACATGACTGTTAGTAATTGTAATAACATCATAATGTTAGATTTTACATGCAGTGTTTTCATCTGATATATTGACATAAAATACAAGATCTCTCTATGGCAGTTTGTCTCTGTCCAGTCCTTCAGATACGGCTAGGTTAACAGTAGTGTGCTTGATAAAACACAGTGTTTTACCATGCCAGCTTCTGCCAGTGTCGTCTCCAGCACTGAAACACGCATCTTGTCACATATCCACACTTCATGTCACTGACACGCTGCCTTTTTCCACACTGCAGTGCACCGCAGATTGTGATGTGAATAGGGCACATAGAAAACAATTATTTGCTACCTGCCTTAGCGTTGACCTGTACTTATCCAAAGCGTAAAAGTGCACATAGTGTGAACAACTCCTAATACAATCAGCTGGAGAACTGTCAGTGACATTTCACTGTCTGCTGTAGTTTTTGTTCAATGCGATTTGTATTGGAGCTGCTCTGTAGTCAGCTGTAGAAAGGGCAAACCGTCATTTTAATTGCATCCATTTATTAAATCCTAGCAGAATGCTTCCCTTGAACCTACCCAGTTACAAATGTCTAAACATTTGTAATTGCAACAATTTTCTGGGTGAAGTGGTGGATTATCTGACAGAAATGCAGGGGTGCCAATATTTTTGGCCATGACTGTATTTGTAGAATGTAAAATAAAGTAGTCATAGGCAGTCAGTGTTTCTATGCACTTTTAGAAATGAATTTTCAGTGTGTCTCTGGAGAATGTTTTTGATTTAACTATGGTTTTTGTGGATTTGTCCTCACAGTGCTGGAAGTGCACCAGTTTGCTCAGGAAGCTGGAGTAGCTGAGGCCTGGTTGACTGCTCAGGAGCCCATAGTGAAGAGCCCAGAACTGGGCAACAGCGTGGATGAGGTGGAGCAGCTGATCAGACGGCATGAAGCCTTCCGTAAAACTGCAGCCGCCTGGGAGGAGAGATTCAGCTCACTAAGGCGCCTCACTACGGTAAGAGAAATTAAATCCTTAGAGAGTAACTCCACTTTTTTTGAGAAAAAAATATTACCCCCTGGGTGATCTATGTGCAGTGCAGGGATTTTAACAAACTTTGTTGCAGATTCCTACCATTTGTTATTCTGAAGAAAGAGCTGTTTGAGTCTAATAGCAGTGGTTTCATAATTCTCAATCAGCTGCTGCACTTGCAGAGCTCTAATGAGGAAAGTGGCAGGGTCTGCATCCTTTAGACGTAATTTCCCTTTGGGAGTATGTGACGAACTAGGAGTGCAGAGAGAGAGGGCACACGGAGGCAGATTACAGGAAACCCAACATGTGGGTGTTTATTGGGGAAACTCAGGAGTCCAGACAATAGAAAAAACTAGTCCACAGAACAACACAAGACACAGCAGTGAAGAATGATCCTCAGGGTGGCAATATGGGGGAGCAGAGGGCAGGTAGTCCACAAAGCAAACAGGGCAGAGAAGGGTTAAGTCCACAGGGCAGAGGTCCAAGCACAACAGGGTTAATCCAGCACACAGGGCAAAATCCTTGACACAGGGTAGCAATGCAATTCAGGGACTCACCAATTCAGTGACCTCAGCAGAGGAAGTCTAGGCAGATAGGCACCAACTCCTCTTTGGAGATAGGTCTTCATAGGGTTGTGTGTCCTGGCTGCAGCTTCAAGACCACACAGGCAACAGTTGACAGAAGAGCAGAAGGTAGAACAAAGTACCAGTGTCCATAAAGCCACACAGACAATGTAGAACCACAAATCCCAGCAGTGCAAAAAGCAAAGCACAGTTCAGTACATCGCTTAGCGAGGCTTGCAGTCATGAGCTGCTCTGTCCATCCTGACTCAAGCTCTGTACATTCTGAGAGTTTTCTCCCACCATAGGGACATTATCTGGGCCTTTCAATTTGACCAAGCCTCAGCCCCCCCCCCCCCCCCCCCAAAAAAAAAAAAAAAACCCCAACAAACCCCCCCCCCTTCCCAGACCAAAATGTCTGGCTTTTCACATCCAGAGGACACTGTGCTGTCTGTGCCTCCTGCTGAGATCAACCTCATCTCCCATTCCCTGCGGGGCACAGGAACTCCAACATTTAATTAAGCAGACAAGCTGACAGCTTGACACACTTGTTGATTTCAACAAAACAACACAAAAATAAATTAATATTTCTGATCTCCATCAGAGATTATCTCACCAAAAATGATATTTTTGTTACAGGGGATGCCAAAATTAGCGTAGACTTCTGGGAAAATTAGCGTAGACTTCTGGGAAAAATAAGTGAGCTCATCACACAAGCAGGAAATTATGTTTCTGGGGGGAGTTCTGTACACATTCTGTACAGAACACCTCCAGGTTGCCATATTGCATTGCATTTTACAGAAAATGACAGTGCTGCAGATTGAAAAGAAAGGTAATTTTTAATAACATTCAATTACAACATGACTTGTGTTGCAGTTGTATGTGCTATATTTTTTTTTATTCTCTATATTTTTTCCCACGAAAGTGGAGTTACTCTTTAAAACAAAGAAACGGTCTGAAGGAAGCCAATATTCCAATTCTAGGAAAGTTACTTTTATTTTTATTTATTCTCTTTTATTGTTGTTGTAGTGTTGATCATTTATTCAGTGCTTTACATACTGTGCATTCACATTAATCCCTGTTTTCAAGGAGCTTGCAATTTAAGGTCCCTAAATCACATGAGTACACATACTGGGGCCAATTTAGATAGGAGCCAATTAACTTACCAGCTTGTCTTTGGAATGTGGGAGGCAATCAGAATACCTGGAGGAAATCCATGTGCCGTGTGCCACATACAGTCAGCGCTGGTCTCTTCTGGGTGCTGCTCAAATTACTTGCCATCTACAATATATACTGGACACATAGGGGGTTATTTATTAAAGATGGAGAGTGCAAAATCTGTGCAACTCTGCATAGAAACCAATCAGCTTCCAGGTTTTATTGCCAAAGCTTAACTGAACAAACTGAAGTTAGAAACTGATAGTCTACCATACACAGCTGCACCAGATTCTGAGTCCACCAGTTTTAATAAATCAACACCATGGGGTTGCTCACTCAGCACCTCCGCCACCCAGAAAGTGACATTGTGATATCATCTGCCCCCCCCCTCCCATTCTACCCTGTCCAATGAGAGAACTTCTTGTAGTTATTGCAAAACATGCAAGACATTCTCTGAATGGTGGAGATGCCGAGCGAGCAACACCATGTGTTCTGTATACAAAAGGCAAGTCACTGGATCAGCAACCAGAATTGACCTGCATGGACTGTTTGTAGCACAAGCTACTACAGTGAATTTCTGCAGAGATATGATGGATTAGATGTAACAAAGCTGGACCAATAGAAGTTTAAACTAAAGATGATTATTGGAGTTCAGCTTTGAAGTCAAAGTTGGCGACATCTTTTTTTTTTTTTTTTCTATACTCTAGGGTCCGCTTTAACCACTTCCTGTCCGGACACTTTTACCCCCTTCCTGTCCAGGGCAATTTTCAGCTTTCAGCGCTATCACACTTTGAATGACAATTGCGCGGTCATGCAACACTGTATCCATATGAATTTTTTACCATTTTTTTGAGACAGATAAAGCTTTATTTTGGTGGTATTTATTCACCGCAGGGATTTTTATTTTTTTTCTATGTAAATTAAAAAATCCAAAAATTTTGAAAAAAAAGTGTTTTTCTTATAAAATTTTGCAAATAAATAATCTTTCATCATTAATCTTGGACAAAATGTATTCCGTTATCTTTTTAGTAAAAAAAAAAAAAATAAGCCAAATTAGTTTATAACCAAAAATTATAATTTTTAAAATTTTATTTACATTTTTATTTATTTTTTTTTATATTATTATTTGGGTTTTTTTTTTACATACTGTCAACCTAGCAGTACACTGTCACCATGGTGACACTGTACTACTTGTGGGGGGTGATGAAGATTTTTTTTTTTTTTTTTTTACAGTGATTGCTTTTACACCCATATAGGATGTAAAAGCAATCATTTCTCTTTCTCTCTGTCTGCATTCTTGCACCATTGAGAACTACTGAGTGAGCTGTGATTGGTCACAGCTTGTCACATGGTACAAGGCTGTTGTGAATAGCCTTGTACCATGTGACCTCTGTGATCATTCACAGATTTCACATGTAGTAAGCAATGATGACACAAGTGACATCTTGCTTACTACTTTGCATGTGATCACTGATTGGCCAATCAGTGATCACATGATTGGGACCTTGTACAGAGGTCCCGTCCAACGATCGGTGTTTCACTGTGTCCGGAGGACACAGCAGGCACCGGATCGCGGTGCTTCACGCTCCCAGGGAGCGCGCACAGCTAGAAATGGCAGGTGCCATTTATGAACGGCAACCCACCCCCTGGAGTGCCACCTTCCTGCCGTTTTATAAACAGCAGGTGGACGGCAAGTGGTTAAAAGGTGCACATATGTATGTTTGAAGATGAAAGTGAATCAGCATCAGGCAGTTTATAAGCTATTGCACTAAAAATAAATATCTTGAGAGCCCAGCAGATCCTGCCTTGAACTGCCCAGCCTACACATGTTCATGGCTTATAGCCCCCGGCACTGCTGATTGTTATAGGTGAAAGTGTGTGGGCAGAATCTGAAGAATGATGGAGAGCGCAAGACCTCTTATAAGAGTCTTCCTGTTTGGTTTGGGCTTATGAATGCTTCTTGGCATTTGTTACAGAATCAAGGTTCCCAGACACTGAAAACTGCTGATTTCTTAATCTGCCCCCTAATCTGTCTGATGAGGGCTGACTTCTTTTTTTTTTTTAATACTCCTATAAATATCTTTTAAACTTTAAAATAGTGAAATCTGAAGAACAGCTAAACGAGAATATGTACTGGAATTTAAAGCTAACTCCGCCTTTTTATCATGTTACACCCATATTTATAGATCTGTAAATGAATGGACTACAAGTTCCGTCTGCCATCGTAGCAGATGGACAAGTGCTGTAATCACCGCACTCGTAGTCCATTGACCTTTCCTTCAGCTCTCTAAGCTTCTCTGTACAGGTCGGGAGCTGGAGGAGGAGTCTGTAGAAGCCTAACTTTGCATCCATTGATCACGAATGCAATGCTTTGCAAGCTGCGGTGTAAAAAAATGCACTTTTTTCTTGCAGAAATATGCGCATTTTTATTTATTTTTTCTCAAAGTGAACCTATCAGTACAGGATTAATTTAGGCTCCAAGTACACGGGACGTTTGGAAAACACTTCTGAATGAAACTGACTGCTGGAAAATGTAGGTTAAAAAAGTCAGTTTAGCCACGTTTGCGTACCGCGTTTATGCGTATTTATGTGCGTTTGCGTTCAGAAGCGTTTTTTTAAAGATAACATCAGGAAACCTTCCAAAATGCCCAGAATGCACTGAGAAACAGTATAGAATTAACTATTTCAGACATTTTGAGAGAAATAGAGAGAGCAGAGGCAGAGAGAGCAGTATGTGTTGAGATTAGCTGTCTTTTCTGGTTGTATTCACTATGGATCCCATCATAATGCGGCACATTCTACCATTCTTTCCTTCACACGAAACCTGGAACTGACTGCGCTGGTGTACCAGGTCCATTTGAATACATGGAAAACGCTTTGCATGCATTTCTGATGATGAAAAAAGGTTCTGGACAGCATCTGGATATGGAACAGTTAAAAAACGCTTCTAAACACAAATGCTTATAAATGCGGTTTGCCGCGTTTACAAGCGTTGGCGTTTGAAAGCGCTGATAAAATATGCTCCTGAACGCAAGTTTGGTGCGTTCAAAAAAACGACTGTAAACTCAGCTGCCTGTAAACGAAGATGTGTACATGGACACATAGGAAAACATTAGGGAGGGTTCCAGGGGCTGCTGAAAAAAATGCAGAAAAGCTCCTGAATGTGAGTTTATCAGCTGCGGTGTACATGAGCCCTTACAGTAATGTGTTACTAAACCCAGGACCCTGCATTCACTATATCTGCTCTCCCAGGACCCTGCATTCACTATATCTGGTCTCCCCGGACCCTGCATTCACTATATCTGCTCTCCCAGGACCCTGCATTCACTATATCTGTCTCCCCAGGACCCTGCATCTGGTCTCCCCGCACCCTGCATTCATTATATCTGGTCTCCCGGACCCTGCATTCATTATATCTGGTCTCCCCGGACCCTGCATTCACTATATCTGATCTCCCCGGACCCTGCATTCACTATATCTGGTCTCCCCGGACCCTGCATTCACTATATCTGGTCTCCCCGGACCCTGCATTTACTATATCTGGTCTCCCCGGACCCTGCATTCATTATTTCTGGTCTCCCCGGACCCTACATTCACTATATCTGGTCTCCCCGGACCCTGCATTCACTATATCTGGTCTCCCCGGACCCTGCATTCACTATATCTGGTCTCCCACAGTACACAGAACATGGAAAAGTAATTATTTCAGTAAATATAAACAGCTAAATACCTTTTGCCATCAGCAGTCTTGTGACGTCTATCAGTGTCCAGCCAAGCACTGGGTAATCTTGTAGGCGTTTCATTCTTCATGACCCGTGACCCTCTGTCTGGACAGTGCTGATTGGCCCTGTGCCAATCACATGCACCCTCCCCCCCAAAAAACTCTAGCAATACACATCAAACTGAGCATGTGCAGAGTGCCTTCTAGGGCTCTGTACTATCAGTAGATGGATTGGGGACAGTAGAAGAAGGGGATGATCAGAGAAGACAGGATCAACCAGCCTTTTTACATAATGTGGAGGATTAACCATGTGCGTATACCAAGCATGCTTTACTGCATATACAGATTGATTTTACTGTTGTAGGTTTAGTAACACTTTAGTAACGCAGCGTAGTCCAAGATCCACCCTAGCCTGTGATTGGACAATGAAGGAGCAATCAACTTTTGTGTGGTCACATAAATAAAATGAACACACAGAGATCTGAGTTGCAGTCTATTGGAGCACTTTCACAAAAAGCAAGTGGAGATGCAGAGATTTAAGTTGCACTTCATTGAAGCACTTTCTGTTTTGCACAGAGAATCTTTATTCACATACATATAGCACTTTATTAGATAGTGACTCCTTGGCAATTTACAGCACTTTTTTGCATAGTAATTTCATTGTAATTTTATTGCACTTTATTGTATGGAGATTTTTCTTGCACCTTATTAAGGTGGTATTTGTACACACAAAACAAATAGGACAGGGTTTAAAATGAATATTTATGTGTGAATTGGTTTTGTTTTTATATTTAATTTGTACACAGGATAGATATTGTGTTGTATATTGCTATATACCAATATTTTATTGTTTTAATGAAGGAGCAGTAGCACACGGATGCACACATCCCTCCTGTATGCATTTTCACACACCACTTGCAAAACAATAGAACCCTGAGTGTTGTCCCATGCCTCGGCTGCTGTGTAGAAGGTTACAAAAGGTCAATAATTAGATTTAGTGACTTTTTCTAATTCTGTGCAAGAATAAATGATTCAATAATTAATTTCTATTTTTAATTCTACATGCAGTTTAGCTTTTTAAAGTTTAGTTTTTTCTGCATTCTCCCTTTTGTAGCTGGAGAAGATGAAAGCTGAGCAGAGCAAACAACCCGCGACCCCACTCCTTGGCCGAAAAGTTTTCCCAGACACCACAGACTTTTCATCTCGACCATCTCCTCTTGCTCAACAGTCATTCCATGAAAAGCCAGAGACTAAGCTGGAGCAGAAGGACACTCTGTCTGTTCCTAATGGGGTTCAGCTGGAAAGCCACAGAATACGGGCAGAGAGGGGAGAAGCAAGAGTAGGGTATGTGCGGCAAGAGATGAAGCCGGAGAGACTTCAGCCAAAGATAGATCATGTGGAGGCTAAGATAACAGAGAAGATTCAGCCTGCTCAGGAAGGAACACGTGGGGAAAGATCAGAGGTCAAAGTCGCTCAAGGTATGGCCACTTTGACTGTGGACAAAGCAGAGGGTAAGTTGAGTCGTCATGCTGAGCGGAGAAGAGAAAGGCATGATCGCAAGCTGGAACGCCAGGAGTCCAGTGAGCATGAGGTTCCCAAACCAGAGCATGTAGAGGAAAGGAGGAGACGAGACCGACATGACAAAAGGCTGGAGAGACAGGGGTCCAGTGAACAAGAAACACCAAAACCGGAGCAGCCAGAAAGGAGGAGAGATCGGCATGAGAGGAGGGCAGAGAAGCCGGAGTCCAGTGAGCAGGAGACGCCAAAGAACGAGCCTGAAAAACAAGGAGGGTAAGGAGCCTCAGTTCTCTACCTGAAATGACATAACAGTTGGCTGTATGTATGTAATATTCATCAGAAGCCTTTACAAGCGCATGACTCCTACCATGTACCATGTTGACAGCCACAGGCTAGTTTTGCAGGCAGGTTTGTTTCATTCAACCTTAGGTATTGGGAAGCTGCTGCACCCCCATGGCCCGACGGTGAAAGTACCACTGTGAACTGTGGTACCGGATTTGTCTCTCCCCTGACATTTGGGAACACTTGTAATTCAGATCATATTTTCTGTTTGGTCTACTACTAATTCATTTAAAAGTAAACCTATGGCCATGTTATGGACTTTTATATGCTCAAAAAAATTAAAGGAACACTTTTTAATCAGAGTATAGCATCAAGTCAGTTAAACTCCTGGGATATTGATCTGGTCAGTTAAGTAGCAGAGGGGGTTGTTAATCGTTTCAGCTGCTTTGGTGTTAATTAAATTAACAGGTGCATTAGATGGGCAATAATGAGACAACCCTCAAAACAGGAATGGTTTTACAAGTGGAGGCCACTGACGGTTTTTTTTCCCTACTCCTCTTTTCTTACTGAAAATCACTAGTTTTCCATTTGGCTAAGGTCAGTGTCACTACTAGTAGCATGAGGCGATACCTGGACCCTACAGAGGTTGTCCAGGCAGTCCAACTCCTCCAGAATGGCATATCAATATGTGCCATTGCCAAAAGGTTTGCTGTGCCTCCCAGCAAAGAGCATGGGTGAGATTCCAGGAGACAGATAGTTACTCTAGGAGAGAGCTGGACAGAGCCGTAGGAGGTCCTTAACCCATCAGCAAGACTGGTATCTGCTCCTTTGTGCAAGGAGGAACAGGATGAGCACTGCCAGAGCCCTACAAAATGACCTCCAGCAGGCCACTGGTGTTAATGTCTCTGACAAAACAATCAGAAACAGACTTCATGAGGGTGGCCTGAGGGCCCAACATCCTCTACTGGGACCTGTGCTCACTACTAGCCACCATAGAGCTCAATTGGCATTTTCCATTGAACACCAGAATTGGCATATTCACCACTGGCGCCCTGTGCTTTTCACAGATGAGAGCAGGTTCACCCTGAGCACATGTGACAGATCTGGAGAAGCTGTGGAGAATGTTCTGCCTACTGGACATTGTTCAGCATGACCGTTTTGATGGTGAGTCAGTGATGGTCTGGGGAGGCATATCCATGGAGGGATGCACAGACCTCTACAGGCTAGACAATGGCACCCTGACTGCCATTAGGTATCGGGATGAAATCCTTGGACCCATTGTCAGACCCTACGCTGGTACAGTGGGTCCTGGGTTCCTCCTGGTGCACAACAATGCCCAGCCTCATGTGGCGAGAGTGAATGCAGGCAGTTCCTGGAGGATGAAGGAATTTGATACCATTGAATGGTCCCCCACGCTTACTTGACCTAAATCCAATAGAACTCCTCTGGGATATCATGTTTCGGTCCATCCGATGTCGCCAGGTTGCACCTCAGACTGTCCAGGAGTTCAGTGATCTCCTGGTCCAGATCTGGGGGAAATACCCCAGGACACCATCCGTCGTCTCATTAGGAGCATGCTCCAACGTTGTCAGGCATACATACAAACACGTGGGGGCCATACAAACTACTGTGTACCATTTTGAGTTGCTGCAATGAAATTTCAGCAAAGTGGACTAGCCTGTTACATCATTTTTTCACTTTGAATTTCGGGGTGTCTTTGAATTCAGTCCTCTGTAGGTTGACCATTTTCAATTCCATCAAACAATGGGGCATCCTTATGTTCCTAACACATTACCCAGTTCATATCAGTATAGATATCCAGCATGGTGTTTTCCCTCTTTGAGATCTGATGTGTTTTCCAAGTGTTCCTTGAGCAGTGTATTAAAAATATTCTTAACAAACCATAAATTAGTTTTAAGCCATGCCTTCACTGATCTTTGTAGCTGCCAGCACTGTAAAGAGATTCATCCTTAAATTTCACAACCAAAGCACTGAACTTGCTTTTCCCACTACTTCCTCTGGTGGAACTTGGCATCCCACAAGCATTAGCATTAGCATTCTAAGGTAAACAAACAGTACGTGTTGTAAGCCCCTCAGAAATGGACTGCAGCCGGACCTCAGAATTTTGTTTCTGATTTGAGGATAAATTACTCCAATGCCTGCATTTCAGCCATAAAAATGGCTCCGATGAGCTACAGAGGTGAGTGAGGGCTTTTTTTTAAAGCCCGTTTACGGCTTGTTAAGAATTCTTTGCTTTTTTGGCCACAAGTTCACTATAAATTCACCTTTGGGAATATATTACATGTTCCCAACCACCTGTTTTTTAGGGTGGAACATGTAACATGTTCCTGCTTCTGCAGTTCTCCCCCAATCCTCCCCTCATTGTGACAGTGTGCAAGGGATCTTGTCTTAGCCTTTAACTGAGGTGTCCTGAAGTGGTAGTTGATGGTAATCTATCAGGTTACTTCCAGGACCTTTTGAGCTGATAGATACTAGACAAGTAGAAACTAATATCTATGGTACCTTGAAGTGAATCCTTTACTAGCCACATAGGAAGTATTTTGAATAATATATTCTTAACTACATAAGAGGTTTCATATAGTAAACTTGGTGTAGATTTATTCATTTTAAGGTCATCACAGTGGACAAGGGGGCACTCTTTACATCTGGACAAAAAGAGATTTAGCTTCCAAATAAATACGGAAAGGCTTCTTCATAGTAAGAGCTGTGAAAATGTGGAATAGACTCCTTCAGGAGCTGGTTCTGGCAAGCTCAGTAGATTACGCACAAATATCATACACCATGCAGCGCTTAAAATGGATCAACAATATCCTTAATAAATATCTGTATAGCGTCTCTGTTTAAAAGAAAAAACAGGTATTCACAATATTACAGATAGGTGAAGAATCGTGACAATATATTAGATAATAGTATGGCGACTTCGGTGGTAAATATAGCTGTAGAATGCACTAACCAAGAGTCTTTCAGTTCTTGTTTGAGGTATCTTTGCCCATTCTTCCTTACAAAAGTCTTCCAGTTCTTTGAGATTTCTGGGCTGTCTGTCACGCACTGCTCTTTTAAGGTCTATCCATAGATTTTCAATTATGTTGAGGTCAGGAGATTGTGAAGGCCATGGCAAAGGAAGAATGGGCAAAGATACCTCAAACAAGAATTGAAAGACTCTTGGCTGGCTACAAAAAGCGTTTTTACAAGCTGTGATACTTGCCAAAGGGGGCAGTACAAGATATTAACTCTGCAGGGTGCCCAAACTTTTGCAGACGCCATTTTTTTGTTTTCTGTTATTTTGAAAGTGTAAATGATGGAAATAAAATCTAACTTTTGTTGACATATTATAAGAATGTCTAATCTGTAATTTGATGCCTTTTGGAGATTTTTCCATCTTTCCTTGGCTTCTTTATGCACATTAATACAAATTTTTAGCTGGGGTGCCCAAACTTTCGATCCCCACTGTACTAGGGCCAATTTAGACAGGAGCCAATTAACCTACCAGCATCTCTTTGGAGTGTGGTAGGAAACCGGAGTACCTGGTGGAAACCCACATAGGCACAGGAAGAACATGCAAACTCCAGGCAGGTGGTGCCGTGGTTGGGATTCAAACCAACGACCCTAGTACTGCCAGGCAGAAGTGCTAACCATTTAGCCACTGTGCTGCCCAGTTTACTTGTAGGGCTGTTTCCTGGTGTTGAAATATTTGGATTGTAGAGGTTTGTCCTTCAGTTGCTGGTCTGTGATGAGGAGAGATGCTGCGTGATTAGGAAATGATCACTGTCAATAGCCTGCAAATACCAAACTATGTGATTCTTCTCTCTATGTAGAAAGGCGACACTTGCCGATATTGTAGAACAGCTGCAGGAAAAAGAAGCATCACAGAATAACCCTGCAGTAAGTATTGCGTGTGAATGAAGAATGACACCTGCTGAAGGAGGTATATGTAATCTAAGCAAAACAATTACAAAGATAAGATGGCCAATGTGCCCTCAGGAAGTGCTTCTTACTGCCAGAGGATTGGCTGCTTCTATACCTGTGCTGTCTGCCCTGTTCTATAAAAAAAAAAAAAGGATCATCTTTGTTCTGAAACAGAAAGAAGACATTTAAGTAACCCGCTAATAATGCCATAGCTACCATTTTTGTGTGTGTGTTGTGCAGACGACTATATATTTTCATAGCCCCCCAACATATGGTCATGCCTTACAGCTTTTTTATTTACATTTTATATCACCTGTTCATTAGTTAAAATTGTTCCTAATTCTTAGTTCGTTAAAACTAGGAAAATCTACTCTTAATTTTTAAACATTTTTTCTTGGACTGTAATTATTATTATGTGGACTTGTAGAGAAACAAAGTTGTGCTGCGTGTTATTCTGCAGTTTACTGCTAAGGTTTCTTTATTCTTTAGAATCGGATTCTCCGGCCCGCTTACCTAATGGCGTGGAAAAGCTTCCAGAAAGAACACCCAGGCCTGACCGGCCAAGAGCAAGAGATCGACCCAAACCCAGAAGAAGACCTCGTCCTAAGGACCCAAACCAAGCACCGGGGGAGGCCCGGAGATCCCGCTCAGCTCCAGCACAGAGCAACACCCCCCCTCCACCTCCTCCATCCCACACCGTACAACTGGAAGGATACCTCTTCAGGAAACATGAGCTGGATGGACCCAGCAAAAAAGCCTCAAACAGGTACAGGCAGGGAGCAGTGAACTGTCCCAGCGCAACCAAGCAAATATAAAATGCAAAAAATTAACTTGAAATGGCTCTTTCACACAGGTGGCCAGGGGGGCAGTAAAGCAGTTTTACTGCCCCCCACCTGAATGCTAACTTTACAGCTGATAACTGTACTCATGCCACGGCCACAATGCTTTGCACTGCAGCATTGTTAACTAGGACTGCAAAGTTTTACTGCCCCCCACCTGAATGCTAACTTTACAGCCTGATAAGGCTGTACTCATGCCACGGCCACAATCCTTTGCACTGCAGCATTGTTAACTAGGACTGCAAAGTTTTACTGCCCCCCACCTGAATGCTAACTTTACAGCCTGACAAGGCTGTACTCCTGCCACAGACACAATCCTTTGCACTGCAGCATTGTTAACTAGGACTGCAAAGTTTTATAAGTGGCTCACAGTTGTGGTTCTGTCCTACAGTGTAAAATTGCCATTCAGCAATTAAAAGTGAAAAAAAAAAAACGGCGTCAGGCGGCAGCAGTAGCACCTCCTGAACGCCCGACGATCGCTGTTATACCGCCTTTTGAAAATCGATCCACCGCAGATGGCTTTTTTAGAGGGCGGTAAGCTTACTGCCTGTCTGAGGGAAAACCATAAGGTGCTATACATACATGGTGAGGTTAGAACATTTGACCCGATCTGCCTTGCAGTGGGGAGGCTTGATTTTACTTATTTCATTTTTATTACTTTATATAGGCTCAACAATTTCCAGTTTTTTTTTATTTTTTTTTTTTTTAAAGTGCATTCACATGAAGCCTGTCTCAAAAGTTGTTTGCAGTCTAAAGTTCTCACTGTAGTTATTCTACAACCAATTTTTATGTTTTTGAATTGTGAGGCAAAAACTGGAGGCCTCTCACATATACTGGATTAGAAAATGCAGATAATATTTTCTCTGGGATTTTAATCCAGGATCCCAGTGCTACATAACATAGACCACTAGGCTAAATCCAAACTGACTAATTATTTCTCAGATTTAAACATGTTCCATAGAGTGCCATATGAGCACACCAGGGCCACTTTAGTCATAAGCCACTTGGCCCTCTCATACACAATCTCTACCATGTAATGTTCCTTTCAGGGCCCCTATATAGTACCATGGTGCTAAATGGCTAAATCATTGTATTCTTCAAAAAGATTTTCGAAAGAAAATTATTTCGAAATCCGACCCATGTATGGCTGGCTTCCTGACAAGGGTGGTGTGTGTCCCCTGAGCTATTCTTGTGGAAACTTTCACAAAACAGCGGTTTAATTCTGAAAGAATTTTCATTCGAAAATCTGTTCTAAGAATTTTCGTTTGAATTTCGCATCATTAGTGGGCCACAGTAATGGCCAATTTTCGTGCAACCATTGAATTTGAGTGATTGTGCATGTTGGAATTTTTTTAAAAAACGAACAAATTTCTGATCAATGATGGGACAATCGTGCCAGAAATGTAATACAAAAAAAAAAGAAACAAGCATGAGCTGTGATCTGGAATGAAAAGAAAATTCTTGGCCACGAAAATTCTTTTCTGTTGCAGCATGTGAAGTTGAAGGCTTGGTTGGTCGAATTTCGAGATCAATGGTGGCACCATCGGATTACAAAATGCATGAAATTTACGATTTTCTAAAGAAAATTTGTTCAGAATTCGACCCATGTATGGCCTGCATAAGTCTTTGTTTCTCTCATTAGGCGCCAGCATTTCTGGCCCCATCATAATATCAGCCATGTTGTGGAGAACATCTGTCTCATAAGGAGCAGAGTAAATCCGGCCATACATGGGTTGAATTCCGAAATAATTTTCTTTTGAAAATCTTTTCTAAGAATTTTCGTTTGAATTTCGCACCAGTAGTGGGTCACAGAAACGGCCAATTTTTGAGTAATTATCAAATCTGAGTGGTCGGGCATGTTGGAAATTTTTTGCAAAAAAAAAAAAACGAACTAATTTCTAATCAATGATGGGAGAATCGTGCGAGAAATATAAACAAAAAAGAAATGAGCTGTGACCTGGAAAGAAAAGAAAATTCTTGGCCACGAAAATTATTTTCTGTAGCAGGTGAAATTAAAGGCTTGGTTGTTTGAATTTCAAAATCAATGGCGGCACCATCGGATCACAAAACACACACAATTTCCAATTTTCTAAAGAAACAATTGAGTACTGTCCGTGATACTTTTTTTTTATTTGCACTAACAAACAATTTTGGGGACAAGCTTTCGGGGTATGTCCCCTTCTTCAAGGTCCAAGCAGTACTACTCACAAAGTTTTAGCAGAATGTTAGAAGAGATGTGGGGGATGAGAAAAAAAAAAAAGGCTAAAGATAAGACACACCTTTTTTTTTTCTCATCCCATGTAGTGCAAAGGCCTGCCTAACTGGATACAATTGAAAGTGTTGTTTAGGTTTGACATTGTATTATATGTTTTTTGGTAAATCTAAAGTAACATTCTCAAGAAAATTGTATAATGTATGGCCAGCCTTAAGATGGCCATACATGGGCCGAACTCCGAAAGAATTTTCTTTCGAAAATCTTTTCTAAGAATTTTCGTTCCAATTTTGCACCATTAGTGGGCCACAGAAACTGATTTTCATGTGACCATTGAATTTGAGGGTATTTTGGAAATGTTTTGAAAAACGAACAAATTTCTAATCAATGATGGGAGAATCGTGCAAGAAATATGATTGAAATAGAAACGAGCGTGAGCTGTGACCTGGTAAGAAGACAATTCTTGAAGAAAGTTCTTTTCTGTAGCAAAATGTGAAATTGCAGGCTTGGTTGGTTGAATTTCGAAATCAGCGATGGCACCATTGGATTACAAAACGCACTAAATTTGCGATTTTCTAAAACAAATTTGTTCGGAATTCGACCCATGTGTGTGGCCTGCATTAGCTTTTGCCATCGTGTTGAAGGCTGTGTGACAGCTAGGTATTTGTATTTGCTGTTATTGGAAGGTTGGCTTTAGGTGTTCTTTCCCTGTTGTCTGCAGGTCCTGGGTAAACTTGTACTGTGTGCTCAACAAAGGGGACTTGGGGGTCTACAAGGATGCAAAAAGTCAAAGTTCAGGCGCAACACACGGAGGGGAACCCCTACTGAACCTACATGGAGCTTCCTGTGAAATAGCCAATGAGTATAAGAAAAAGAAGTTTGTCTTCAAACTCAGGTAAATAATCTGCCTGTTTATAATCTACCTGTTTATAATCTGCCTGTTTACCTCCTACAGCCATAGCCAAAAAAACAGAAGAAAATACGTATTTTTTTCTATTTGTAGGTCGACAGATGGAAGAGAGTTCCTCTTTCAAGCTAAAGATGAGGTAAATCCCTAGAAACATCAAAGTGATTCTAAAGGTTGGAATTTAAAAAAAAAAAACAAACAAACATGTTATACTTACCTGCTCTGTACAATGGTTTTGCAAAGAGCAGCCCCAATCCGCTTCTTTTTGGGTCCTCCACCAGTGGTCTTGGCTCCTCCCCACAGCCGAGTGTCCCCAATAGCAAGTCTCTTTTTATGGGGGCACTCGAGCAGGCTCATTCCAGAGCCACGCTCTAATGAATGGATATTGCTCGGCCCCGCCCCCGACTCTCCCCTCATTGGCTCACTGGCTATGATTGACAGCAGCAGGAGCCAATGACTTCTGCTGTCTGAGCCAATGAGCAGAGAGAGACCTGGGAGAACCGTGGCTCTCATGCATATCGCTGGAGCAAGATGGAGCTCAGGTAAGTATAAGGGGGGCTGAGGGCAAAGTTGCACCCTGAAGGTGTTTTACCTTAATGCATAGAATTCTTTCATTCCAGAGCGGACAATTTTACCACCTTCCTGTCCAGGCCAATTTTCTGCTTTCAGTGCTATCACACTTTGAATGACAATTGCGCAGTCATGTAACACTGTACCCATATGGATTTGTTAGAATTTTTTTGAGACAGATAAAGCTTTATTTTGGTGGTATTTATTCACCACTGGGATTTTTTTTTTTTTTTTTTTTTTTGCTATATAAATGAAAATGTCCAAAAAGTTTGAAAAAAAGTGTTTTTCTTATAAAATTTTGCAAATAAATAATGTTTCATCATAAATCTTGGCCAAAATGTATTAGTTATCTTTTTAGTAAAACAAAATAACCCAAATTAGTTTATAACCAAAAATTATAATTTTTAAAAAGTTTTTACATTTTTTTTTTTTTTTTTTATATTATTATTTTTTTTTCTACATACTGTCACCCTAGCAGACTGTAAAAGCAATCATTTCTCCTTCTCTCTGGCTGCATACTTGCAGCCATTGAGAACTACTGTGTGAGCTGTGATTGGTCACAGCTTGTCACATGGTACAAGGCTGTTGTGAATAGCCTTGTACTATGTGACCTCTGCGATCATTCACAGATTTACACAAGTAGTAAGCAATGATGTCAGAAGTGACCTCTTGCTTCCTACTCTGCATGTGATCACTGATTGGCCAAAATAAATAACTCAAATTAGTTTATAACCAAAAATGTATAATTTTTCAAAAATGTTTTTTTAAATTTTTTTTTTTTTTATATTATTTATGTTTTTTTTAACATACTGTCACCCTAACAGTACAGTGTCACCATAGTAACACTGTACTACTTGTGGAGGGTTATGAAGATATTTTTTTCTTTTTTTACACTGATTGCTTTTACACCCAGAAAGGCTGTAAAGGCAATCATTTCTCCTTCTCACTAGGCTGCATTTTTGCAGCCATTGAGAAATACTGCGAGAGCTGTGATTGCTCACAGCTTGTCACATGGTACAAGGCTGTTGTGAATAGCCTTGTACCATGTGACCTCTGTGATCATTCATAGATTTCACACATAGTAAGCAATGATGTCAGGAAGTGACATCTTGTTTAGTACTATTCATGTGATCATGATTGGCCAATCAGTGATCATATGATCGGGACCTCACACAGAGGTCCCGTACGACGATCGGTGTCCAGAGGACACAGCGGGCACCGGATTGCGGTGCTGCATGCTCCCAGGGAGCGTGCACAGTCCATAATGGCGGGTGCCATTTAGGAACGGCAACCCGCCCCTGCACTGCCACCGTCCAGCCGTTTATATAGAGCGGCCGGACGACAAGTGGTTTTAAAGTAAAGAAACTTTTGCCTTTAGAAGCACCGTATGTGACACTGAGGTAGGGATATACCAGTGTGTGTATGTGGGGGGGGGGGGGGGGGGTACAGGAAGTGCCATAGCCATCTGGGCTATAAGGCCTATGGAAATGTTGTACTTCACCTATCTTCTTCCAACAATAACAACTTCAGTACAACCCATAAAACCTTTCAAGGAGGTTCATAGGGTTCGTAGCCATTGGAATGCTAAAGGCAGTTGACCATGTCTACATATTCAGCTGCCTGGTAAAGCTTGGCTCAGCTCAGCATTTATGTTCAGCCTAGATGGAGGGAAAGAAGACACTTTCTGATGCTAGCTTATCAGGGGCAGATACTGAAATAACCTACAAAAAAAAATGTAGAGCCTCCCTATTGGTCTTTTCACCACTTCAGTACCGCTGTGTTTTAAAATGGTGGAGTTCCCACTGTCTGGGATAAAGCTGACTTTATACAACTCAGATCACGGACTAAAGGCACAGAGCGGATTGAATTGGCCCTGTGCCTTGTGATCACAGTGATGGCCACTGAAATGATCGCAAATATAAATAGTAGATGGGTTTACATTTGGGAGCCTGTCATTTCATCCTCTACCGTTGAATCTTCCTATCCTCATCCTTTCAGTGGTTATGCTGGAGATCCTGTAAGTAAAACTATTCCTACTATGCAGTAAGAGGATACACATGACATGTGGACACCAGAGTTTTGGAGCACACACCACTGATCACGAACATTTAAAGTGGTAATAATTCCAAAAGAAAACATGTATTACATTGCAGCTTAAAGTGATTCTAAAGGTTTATTTTTTTTATTTTTTTTTTTTAAATTAACATGTCATACTTACCTGCTCTGTGCAATATTTTTGCACAGAGCAAGCCTAATGCTTTTCTTCTCGGGTCCCCTGTGGCACTTCTGGCTCTTCCGCCTTGACCAGCGCCCCCTATAGCAAGATGCTTGCAATGGGGGCAGTGGTGCATGCTCGCTCTCAAGCCCCACTCTATGCGTCCATAAGATACAGAGCCGAAGCTAGGCCCCGCCTCCTGCTCTCTCCTCATTGGCTCACTGGCTGTGCTTGAGGAGAGAGATACCTGGGACAGCCGAGGCTCCAGTGCACATCGCTGGATTGAGAGGGGGCTCAGGTGAATATAAGGGAGGGGATGTGGGGGGAGCTGCACACAGAAGATTTTTTATCTTCATGAATAGACCTGCCAATTCTGGTGTTCAATGGCAAATGCCAGTCGAGCTCTATGGTGCCGGGCAGTGAGCACAGGTCCCAGTAGAGGACGTCGGGCCCTCAGGCCACCCTCATGAAGTGTGTTTCTGATTGTTTGGTCAGAGACATTCACACCAGTGGCCTGCTGGAGGTCATTTTGTAGGGCTCTGGCAGTGCTCATCCTGTTCCTCCTTGCACAAAGGAGCTGATACCGGTCCTGCTGATGGGTTAAGGACCTTCTACAGCACTGTCCAGCTCTCCTAGAGTAACTGCCTGTCTCCTGGAATCTCGTCCATGCTCTTTGCTGGGAGAAACAGCAAACCTTTTGGCAATGGCACATATTGATGCCATCTTGGAGGAGTTGGACTGCCTGAGCAAGCTCTGTAGGGTCCAGGTATTGCTTCATGCTACCAGTAGTGACACTGAGCCTAGCCAAATGCAAAACTAGTGAAAAGATGACTAGGGAAAAAATATCAGTGTCCTCCACCTGTAAAACCATTCCTGTTTTGGGGGTCATCTCATTGTTGCCCATCTAGTGCACCTGTTGTTAATCAGTTTCAGCTGCTTTGGAGTTATTGAAATTAATAACCCCCTCTGCTATTTAACTGACCAGATCAATATCCCAGGAGTTTAATTGACTTGATGCTATATTCTGATTAAAAAGTGTTTCCTTTAATGTTTTTGAGCAGTGTAGAAACAAGATGGAGAAAATCGAATTCCATTTAATGTGTTGCATTTTCTTTTTTTTAACAGGAGGAAATGAAAAACTGGATTACGGCTATAACCACTTGTGTTTCTGAACATGCTGAGATAGCCAAATGGAGCCAGACCCTTCTTACTACCTCCTCCACCGACGAAGGAAACATCAAACGAGAGTCTGATCGCAGATCCAGCGCCGGGGGCCGTAAGAAGTGAACCATGAGGAGGAGCATGGAGCTTCCTACAATGCCCTCCTGTACTTCTTCCGCCCTCAGGCAGAGCCAGGTGTTGGTCAAACACCTGAAGAGCAAGCCCTTCCAGATCTTCTTCTTTCAGGTGGTCCGAGGAGCCTTCTGACATGTTTTGGAACTGAATCTTGATGTCTATGCATTATCTGAACGTAGTTTTCCTACCCCAAAAAACTCCTGAGTGTTAAAACAAATTTTATCCTGAAACTTCCATCCTACAAACACTCCCTCTCGGTTCCTCAGGGGCCAGGCGGGTTTTAATGTATCTAGCTCTTTTAGAGTTTGGTGAACACACATATAAAGGGCCTAAACAGTATAAACTGTAGCCTATGTCTGTAGTAAAATATAGTTGATGGGAATACGGGCTCGGCTAGGTGAGAGTTCAGGAACACTCGCTAGTTCAGGGGGGAGAACCTTACACCATTGGTGATAAGTCTGAATTCTTTATACGCTTAGATCAGGATCATGTGAGAGCACAGGAGATAGCAGAGGACCAGATGTCTAGTTTTGTATTTATTTTGACAGTTCGCAAAGGAAATCTTCAGAATACTTCTCACAGTGCAATATTCGTGTGGCTGCTACAAAATTCCAGGTCTGTGACATAAACAGAATCCCTATATCCAAGACATTGACAAATCTTCATCCTCTCTACATGCTTAATGCAGTATTTGACTTCATCAACAGGTTCATCTTTCATCACATTAGTAGCACTGCAGCTTGTCCATGCCCTGCGAGAGAACATTCAGTGATGGTAACTGTAGAATATGGAGATGCAACCCACATTTAAAGGGACTCCCCATGTTCACAGCCCTGTTCAAGCTCTGAAATGTGTACTAAATCCATGTTTTGTTTTTTTTATTTTGCTTTTTTACTATGTTTATACTTGTACAGGGTTAATCCTGCAATCAGGAATATCACGATGTTAGCTCCATAGTATTGGGACAGCTGGGTGGTAGCCCAAGGCTACTGAAGTGACTGAGCATGAACATTTTATTTACTGGCTTCTCCTGTGAACAGTACAAGCAGAAGTGTGTACAGTGCAGTAATTCATATCAACCAATCAGAATTCACATCAAATCAGGAGAGGGAATCTGATTGGTTCCTCTGGGTATGGCTGCTTTTTCTTTGCTCTTTGGGCTGTTTGTTAATCTGATCATCTAATTAGACAGAGAGAATGACATTACACAAGACTGGTGCTTGGCTTTAAAGTATATGTAAACTCTTACCTTGTAAAGCAAAGCATTATAAATACCTCCCTCCACACCTTTTTTATAGGTGATCACATACCCTCTGTTTTCATCTGCATAGAGAGCTGGGGGAGAGAGAAATAGCAGCACACTGGTCTTCTCAGTGAAAGGCTGTACTGGGTTGGGGGGTTGTGTCAGGACCAGTCAGATCTTTGGAGGAGAGCAGAGTTCTCAGCTCAGCTAGAAAACTGACCACTCTGTGCTCTCATGCCTAGCGTGGTCAGTTTTTGATAGGAAAGCAGGACTGGCATGAACACCAGGGATTTCACACAAAGGAAGCAATACAAAGTGAACAGGAGACTTTTACATACAAGCACATGGTACAGCAGTCACATATCAGGAATAGGAAATATTGGGTTTACATATTCTTTTAATGGGATAGAGCAAAATACACTGTTGTAAAAGCCACAACTGATAGGAACCAGATATTACATTTGGCAGCTTTTAGAGGAATGGAAAATGGCTACTATGTAAGGGAACTATTTTTAGGTAGCTCTTTGCCTTCTTATATACGACCACCTCCAACAACATAACTTTGTTCTTGTGGTTGGAGAACTTCAGCGCTCAAGTCCAAACTGGTGTAGGAATAGAAAGGTGATTTTGCAAACCATTCTGGACAATGCACAGTAGGCGGATGTGTTCTCACCACCATGTAGGAAATTCCAAAGGCTCCTCCAGTCTGTTGCCTGGTTGGTCTGTGGGAACATCAGCAGTGATAGTTAAAGGGGGTGTTTTATGAAAATGTTGATTTTAGTGGTTTGTGTAGGTTGTATTGCAGTGTTGTTGAACTTTCCAGGTGAGCTTTTTGGCCACGTAAAGACATACTCCGGAAAATGCTGGTGACCTGGAACTTCACCACATGGCTCTGTAGGAGCCTATATGGACAGGAGAGAGAATAGTTTTCAAATAAATGGAAGATTAGAAAAATGATGAGTGGTTGACCATCTTCGTGCACCACATCCCTATATAAATTATACAGAAAAGAGTAGGTTGTGGGATTTTGAAGGTGCATAATAATAATTACAATAATCTTTTTTTTTTTTTAATTTTTTACAATTTAATAATGTCAAAATTACATTTAATATGAATGGTTACAACAGACGTAATTACAACACGCTTGACTATTTCCTGCATTGCACAGATGATACTTCCCAACATGTTTCGCCCAACCTGGGCTTCCTCAGGGAAGAGAAAAGCTATCCACAATAAAGTCTACAATTATAGCAAAACTACTACATCAGGGTTTCTCAACCAGGGTTCCTCCAGAGGTTGCCAGAGCAATTTTTGCCTTTCAGGTAAGTTCCCACTGACACCATTGATCTTTTTAGCAATCTGTAAAGGGGTAATTCTCCCCAGTGACCACAAGTGTAAGGAGCATTCTTACCTCTGACTATCACAATAATGTATCATGAGTTGTAGATAAAGTCATCTTTAGCAGGGGTTCCCTGAGACTGGAAAGTTATGTCAAGGATTTCTCTGCGTTGAAAAGTTTGAGACAGGCTGTACTACATGGTATTTTTTATACAATTGTAGGCTGTATTGCAGATAGCTTTTCTTTTCCTCTGAGGAAGCCCAGGTTAGACGAAACATGTTGGGAAGTATCATCTGTGCAACGCCCGAAACATTCAAGCGTGTTGTGATTGTTAAGTCTGTTTTACCCATTTATAATAAATGTAATTTTATTGATATTAACAAATTGTAAAAAATTATAATAAAAAAAATAAAGATTCTATTATTACGAATTCTTTTTTTTTTTTATTATTCTAATTATTATTACGCACCTTCAAAATCCCACAACCTACTCTTTTCTGTATGTTTTCAAATAAAATGTAAGTTAGAAAAGCAGGGTAGTGTAAAGAATTGTAAATGTTTAAAGAAAAAGAGAAAAAAAAAAAACCTCAGTCTAAAAAAGACATTCCATTGTGGATGAAGGACTTGGTCAGCGCTTTCCTTTATGACCAGGATGTGGCAGAAACATCTCCTGCCTGTTACATTTGGTTTGGCTGGTTGCAGTCACCTGCCTCCGTATGTTCATATGTTTCATTTACTTAATAGGCTCCAGCCCTTTCTGCATTACCCATAATGGAGAAATAAACTTTTTGGGCAGAATTGCTCCGTTCTTTGCACAGGTGATTTTCTATGGACCGCCTACTTCACAAAATGTGACGGTATTCATTTAGCGGCTTACCATGCAGCACTATGAGGTCAAGTTCTTTCACTCGGGGCTGAGTGCACCAGATGGACTGTAAGCCATTTAGCAACTGGAAAACGATTAAAAAAAAAAGTAAAAGATAGGAGCCAGGGGCTTATAAATGTAGGAATAGGATTTTTTTTTTTTCCATTTTACAGTATCCTAATATTGCCTTTAAAATGTCAGTGTTTAAATGTGAGTGAAACTGCTCAGTTCTGCAGAGAGCTGGATTTGCTTGTATGATACCGGTCCATGAGGGTTTCATATAAAATTCCAGGCAAACCAGTTAAAGCACATTCGAACTGTATTACCTACCTTATGATTACTACTTGAATTGCGATTCTGTTTGGCCAGTCTGGTTATTTATAGACCTCTGCAGTAAAAAAAAACACACTGGGGTTGATTTACTAAACATGGAGTGTGCAAAATCTGGTGCAGCTCTGCAAAGAAACCATTCAGCTTCCAGGTTTTATTGCTAAAGTTTAATTGAACAAACTGACCTTCAATGCCGATTGGCTACCATGCACAGCGGCACCAGTTTTAGTAAATGTCCTGGTTCTGCCCGGTCACTAGCCAATGAAATGCTAGCAGCATAACGATAGTGACTGTTCAGTGGGAAAGCCTAAATAGGAAATTGGAGTGTCCCCTACCAAGCAATGCATATGGGGGGGGGGGGGGGGGGGGCACAAGTTTGTGAATCACAAGGCTGTTTGAACAGAACTACAAATCCTTGGGTGGGATGTTCTACTTGGCAGATGTTTTACTGGGTGTTTCCCCTGCACTACCTGGCATTAGCAGCCCCTTTACACTTTTCAGTTTTTTTGCCAGATGCATTTTCCATTGAAAATAGTGGACCAATGATGTAACAGGTATTGAAACGCGAAACATTAGCATGGGAATTCATAGACCTCCATTAGAAATCCATCAGATCACAGTAGCAAAATGGTTGGTTCCTGCGCCCAATTCATGTACCTGTCAGACAGGTGACCATATTGGGACTTAAATGACTCCACAATGAATGTGACCTTTAGACATCAAATATTTAAAAACCACAAATCTTATCCCAACCATTTATTATAAATGGACAGCTGGAGAAGGACAGGTACTCACTTCATGACGTTCTATGCAAAATATTGAACAGCTTTGGGCAATATCTTTTTATTCAGCCATGGCCAAAGCTAAACTGTCATTTCTTTTTCTCAACCCCACTCAGTCCTGTTGGCTACACAGAGAACAGCAGCCATTTCGTGAACTAAAACTTTTTTTTAACATTTGAAGCACAAACATTGCTGTGAAGCATAAACGTCAGTAAATAGGCCAAGGCTTATAACAAGATAACAAGCCATCCTGTCAGAAGATGGTAACAGTTGTTTAAAAGAAAAGTTCACCTTTTGGGGGGGGGGGGGGGAAACAAACTTTTTTTTGCAGTTAGAAAAAAATAAGTGTTTTTTTTTTTTTTTTTTTTTTTTTTTTTTAAGGATCAGCAGATGGTGGGTGCAGTGCCAGGCTCCTTCAGATTCTCAGTATAGA